TTGAGACATCTCGTAGATGTGATAAGGCGCTATATCAAATGCAAGAATTATTATTATTATTATAATTCCTTGCTCCAACCTTAAGTTTCTGATCTGCGATTACATGTCCTGAGTCTGGTGAGCAATCAAATAATAATAATAATAATAATAATAATAATCCTTGCATTTGATATAGCGCTTTTCACGTCGGGAGGACGTCCCAAAGCGCTTCACAGAACACACTGTAAAGTGAATTGACTGTATATTTGTGGGCGAACGCGGCAGCCAATTGCGCACAGCAATGTCCCACAAACAGTCGTAGATTGAAAATGACCAATTTATTATTGTTTTGGTTTTGGAGGATTATTATTAGGCTCTGTGTGGAGTAAGGAAACTTGCCCGAGGTTTGGCCCTGACTGACCCCCGGGGATTGAACTCAGGTCTCTCACTTGCAAAGCGAGTGCTCTAACACTGAGCTACAGCACTGATTGCAATACCACAAGTGACACCAATACAACACAGTGTCACAGCTCAAATAGGTGGTTCCTATCTGTGACCGAGACTTCACGTAGAAACACGAGTATAGGATAGTGACAACACATAGCCCCCCCCACCAACCCCCTCCAACATCCCCAGCCCAGACAACACATAGCCCCCCCCCACCACCAGCCCCCTCCAACATCCCCAGCCCAGACAACACATAGCCCCCCCCCACCAACCCCCTCCAACATCCCTAGCCCAGACAACACATAGCCCCCCCCAGCAACCCCCTCCAACATCCCCAGCCCAGACAACACATAGCCCCCACCCCACCAACCCCCTCCAACATCCCCAGCCCAGACAACACATAGCCCCCCCACCAACCCCCTCCAACATCCCCAGCCCAGACAACACATAGCCCCCCCCCAGCAACCCCCTCCAACATCCCCAGCCCAGACAACACATAGCCCCCCCCCACCAACCCCCTCCAACATCCCCAGCCCAGACAACACATAGCCCCCTCCACCAACCCCCTCCAACATCCCCAGCCCAGACAACACATAGCCCCCACCGCTCCCCCCTCCACCAACCCCCTCCAACATCCTTAGCCCAGACAACACATACCCCCCCCACCAACCCCTCCAACATCCCCAGCCCAGACAACACATAGCCCCCCCCACCAACCCCCTCCAACATCCCCAGCCCAGACAACACACAGCCCCCACCGCCCGCCCCACCAACCCCCTCCAACATCCCCAGCCCAAACACATAGCCCCCACCGTCCACCCCCACCAACCCCTCCAACATCCCCAGCCCAGACAACACATAGCCCCCCCCACCAACCCCCTCCATCATCCCCAGCCCAAACAACACAGAGCCCCCCCACCAACCCCCTCCAACATCCCCAGCCCAGACAACACATAGCCCCCCCCACCAACCCCCTCCAACATCCCCAGCCCAGACAACACATAGCCCCCCCCACCAACCCCCTCCAACATCCCCAATTGTTGGAAAATCCCTGCCCCAAGCAATGAGCTGATTAGCAATTTTCACATGTTTTATCTTCATGTAACATTTCAGCTCCACTTTCATAATTTAATCTGTATTTTCAGCTTGTTAGACCTAAGGCCACTTTGGACAGTTTTGCTGCATTAATTACATTCAGCTCACACTGGATTTATAACACCTTATGGTTTTGGCTTGCAAGGATTTTGTCATTCTGGTGGCAGAAACTCATTATTTACCGGGCAAGACATTTCCTCTGGGACTCGATTTACTCTACTTTCTGAGCACTTCACAGTGTCCAGAATTTGGTAAATCCTTACATGCAGTCTTAACTTTGAAGCTGATTTTCTATACGTTTCTTACTAGAGGAAATGGGCTTTGCAGTTAAGACTGAACTGGACAATTTTCAAAGTTCTGGATGCTCTGCAATGGTACATAAATAGAGTAATATAATAATAATCCTCGCAATCGATATAGCGCCTCATCACATTGTTGGGACGTCTCAAAGCACTTCACGGAATATACTGTAAAGTGGATTGACTGTGTGTTTTGAGAGTGAGTAAAATCTAGACCCAGATGGAATTTCTCAACTCCTGTATGTCTGTTACACATTTTATTACCGAGGAAAATGAACCAGTTGACCTGTCCAAATGATGTTATTTAGTAACTGGTAACAGTAACTGGGGGACACCTTGCATAAGAAAAACCTTATGGGAAGAAGACACATGGAACATTGGGTTGTCATCAGGATGACAAAGACACCACAAGGTCATGTCTTTACCAGGAAGACCATCCCAGCCACCAACATGAACCAGGGCGATGACAGGAGCCATGAAAGCAAGTAAGGCACATCACTATCTGTTTCAGTTCCAAAACACCTAAGATCACCTCCGCAATCCCCCTTCTCTGGGACGTCTAGAAGACGTGAAAAGCGCTGTATCAAATGCAAGGATTATTCATTATTCTCCCTTACTCGGCGTCCAATCCCTTCTTCACGAAGTGCTCTGTGACAATATCCTGCGCGAAGGATGCTATGCTATATGAATACAAGTTATTGTAGCAGTACCATCCTTTGCAGAGTTTTCACTGAGTGCTGGATAGTCACACACAGGGATAACAGAGATAAATAGCACCCGAACTGTACCATAAACCAAGTACAGGACTGTAGTGCTGTACCATTAGGCTTTGTCCGCCAGATGGCATTCTTAACACTTGTGTTGCAGTGGGAATTTCCAATGCGCAGGTGGCACAAGTGGAACTCAGTTTGTGGTCGGGATCTCTCAATCACAGTGATGTTTTTCCGCCCGTGTCAGATACCCGACAAAAAGAAACACTGTGGTGGGTTGGTGGTTGGGAGGGAGGAATTGTCGTGTTCCTTAATCGATTTGGCGAGTTACAGAAAAAAACTGCGCTGGAAATAACGTTGATGGACGTTATTTATCCATATGATGAACATATGGATAAATTTGAGAAATATAGAATCTCACAGCGCAGAAGGAGGCCGTTCGGCCCATCGTGCCTGTGCCGGTTCTTTGAAAGAGCTGTCCGACGAGTCCCACTCCCCTGCTCTCAGCCAGTAGCTCAGCAAATTTTTCCTTTTTGTAAAATGGCAAAAGAAAACACACAACAATCTGAACACCATCCCCTGTAGCCTCCGCTGCGCGGAACGAACAATTATTGCAGTGTTGGAAAACGCTTCCCAAATGCCGCAAGAGTGAAATGTAGCAGCTGCAATATATTTTTAGTGCTTAATTATCACGTCTGCAAACCGTTATCCACGGGATGCATTCGAGTCACAAATCGGGGTTATTTTCAAACGTTCGCAGTCAAGTCCACGCGTGTATTTTCTCTGGGATAGGGAAGTGCAAGAGAGAAGCGTTTCCCTCAGCCAATTTCCAGATTGGCAGAGCCATCGTCAATTCCACACAATTTAGTATACAATGGCTAGAGTCAGGCCCAAAGACTGTTCCAAGTGCCATGGCTATTATCAGAGCAATGGCTCAGCTCCCAAGCACTGTTTACACTTGTCTCACACTCATGTTCAAATCCCTTCACTCTCTGGCACCTTCCTATCTCTCCGACCTCCTCACTCCCCAATCCATCACCTGGTGCCTCCGCTCGACTGGCACCGGCCTCCTGGTCGTCCCTCGCACCCTCCGCCCACCATTGGAGCTCGTGCTTTCAGCCACTATGCCCGGAACTCTGGAACACTCTCCTCAATCTCTCCGCCTTGTCCCCTCACTCCTCTTCCAAGCCCCACCTGAAAACCTCTTTGACCGTGTGGCTATTGTAACTAGTTTAATCAGACCCGTGTCAAATTACTTTAACTAAGGGCAGCTTTACTTAGTCCCAGCACTTTCGATCTCGGGAAGGGATCCAGCTAGCATCCCAGCACCCTACTATTTAAGTTGTTGAGGATGCCAGAGTGTGTGTGGATCTGTTTTACACTGTGGGACTGTACATGTGAAGAAAATTGACTCCTCCATCTTCTCTTCTCCATTTTGAACACGTCCTCTGTATTTATTAGGACAATAAAAAAAACTCTTATTCCTTCATGAAGAGCCTAATGACTGTAATTCAACAACTCAGGGTTTCTTAGTTTCCGACACAGGTCTGTAGAGCCACTTATATTTTGGTCTTTAATGGGCTTCTTTATACTGTGATCTCCACTCTGATTCATGGCAAAATGCAGAGTATAAATTGGGGTTGAGTTGTGTGAACTGGAAGTTGACTCTGCTCCCTCCTGCCTACACTTTGTAGGGAGTTTAATGGCACATTGAGTTATACTAACTACAGTGGGTGTAAATTCTGATCAGAATTGATCCCTTATAATGGACCACCCAAAGGATTACTTTATAATCCTATTAAATACCAGCCAGGCAACCAGCTCTCTTAATAATATTAAAATGGCCCATTTCCGCCCACAAAATACACAGTCACTACACAAGAATCTGCTCGGCGAGAGAAGACCACGGTCCATCCACCATCCTGGCAGATGCACGGCATGTCCCGAAATAGACATAAAAAACATATTGCCCGGCGCGTTTCTCCCACAAAATACGCAGTCACTGCACCTTGCAGAGTATTCTGCGAAGCGCTTTGAGGCGTCTCTCGAAGACGCGATAAGGCGCTGTATCAAATGCAAGGATTGCTGTTAGTATTATGAATAATAATAATGAATGGTCATTATAATAAGGCAAATGGCACTTATTACAAGGGGTCTGGACTATGCCATGTGAATGGGAGCAGCAATGTGATCACGTGGCGAAGGAGCCCGGGGGGGGGGGAGGGGGGGGGGGGAGGGAGTGTAGCGATCACGTGACGGGGGGGGGAAAAGAGAGAACCCGAGTAGCGATCACGTGACGGGGGAAGAAGCGAGAGAGCGCGCGCGCACGCGCGAGGGAAGAGATCACGTGACGCGGGTGTGTGTGTGTGTGTGGGGGGGGGCGCGCGCAGAACGAACGTCACGTGACTCCAGCCCCGGCTTCAGCTTCGGCGTCGCCATTTTCCGCGTCTGTGGCGGCGGCGGCGGCGCGGCGGTGGGGGGGGGAGGAGGAGGGGGACAGGACAGAGGAGGGTAACGGCCCAGGCAACACCTCCCCGGTGGCGTCTCTCTCTCTCTCTCTCTCTCACTATAGCCCCCCTCCCCCACACACACGGTATCGAGTGATGTCTGACGGTACCGGGAGGCGGCGGTAACGGTTTAGACTCGTTAAATATTGGGACAAACCCTCCCCTTCTCTCCCCCCCAACACACACACACACTCTCTCCCTCCTCATCTTTCCCTCACAAACATGGCGCTGAAGATCGTCAAAGGCAGCATCGACCGAATGTTCGACAAGAACCTGCAGGACCTGGTCCGCGGCATCAGGAACCACAAGGAGGATGAGGTAAGGACCTGAGGAGAAGGTGTGGAGGGAGAGAGGGAGGGAGGGAGAGGAGAGGGGGGGGGGGGGAAGAATGTAAATTGACAGCCCGGCCCGAGGCCTGTATGTATGTATGTATGTATGTATCCATAACCCCCCCCCCCCACCCCACCAAACCCTGCAGCTGCTGGGAATCCGAAACAAGAAGAGAAACGGCTGGGAAACACTCAGCAGCAGGTCAGGCAGCATCTCTGCGGACAGGGAAGCGAGTCAAACCTTTTCGGGTCCGCGGCCTGGAGAGAGATATCTATATACACACACACACACACACACATGAAACTTCAGGTGCGACGATGACCCACTTTTTTCTTCCTTTTCCATCCGCCCCCCCCCCACACACACACACCCTCGCTCGCCTTCCGCACCTCTCCTTCCCCCCCCCTCTCCTTCCGCACCCCCCTCTCCTTCCCCTCCCTCTCTCTCCCCCCCCTCTCTCTCCCCCCCTCTCCTTCCCCTCCCTCTCTCTCCCTCCCTCTCCTTCCCTCCCTCTCTCTCCCTCCCTCTCCTTCCCCTCCCTCTCTCTCCCTCCCTCTCCTTCCCCTCCTCTCTCTCCCCCCCTCTCCTTCCCCTCCTCCCCTCTCTCCCCCCCTCTCCTTCCCCTCCCTCTCTCTCCCCCCTCTCCTTCCCCTCCCTCTCTCTCCCCCCCTCTCCTTCCCCTCCCTCTCTCTCCCCCCCTCTCCTTCCCCTCCCTCTCTCTCCCCCCCTCTCCTTCCCCTCCCTCTCTCTCCCCCCCTCTCCTTCCCCTCCCCCTCTCTCCCCCCCTCTCCTTCCCCTCCCCCTCCTCTTTCTTCCCCTCTCCCACCCTCCCTCCTCCTCCTCCCCGTTTTTTTGGGTACCATCAGCTACTCAGTGGGTTTAACCATCTCAAGATCCTCCTCTTCGACTGTGCCTTTGATCACCCTCCTTCCCCCTCCCTCCACCCTCCAGCTTTCACCCTCCCCGGTCTCCCAGCTCGGGTCCGAAACACCGATTGTCCAGCGCCTTCGGAAATCCTCCCTACTTGAAAGGCGCTATACAAATGTAATTTTTTTGTTCTTGTTATTACCTCAAGGACTGGTTTACATTGACCCACCAGCTGGTAAATGCAACAAAAACAAAAGCCCACCACCTTTTCTTCATTTCTCCTGGTTTGGGTTTGGGCATTTTGCTTCAAACATATTTATACAGTGTACCAATTTCTCGTTGCATATCTTGAAATGTATGTAAAACAGAGCATTAAGCTCAGGTGAAGCTGGAAATGTTGATTTTCAGGTGTGAAACTTAAGTGCACTATGTCAGGTTGAGTAATTTCTTGTGTGTTAAGAATAACTAGTGTATGTGATTGAAACTAGTGTTGAACTGCTGTTCTGACGTGGTATACTTGATGTGACATAGGGTTGTCAAACCTTTGTTTATGTCCTGATTATATCCTCTGACAGATTAGCACCCGATGAGTGAGTTTTCAGGAACTTGGATAAACTTGTTTTTCACCAATAACATTACTGTCCTGCTTATTGAATACTGTACCAACAGATTGAAACCATGACAGAATTAATTTGCCACTTTACCAAAGCCTCATGAAAATTATTACCAAGAAGTAATTGCAGCCTATATACGAATTTTAATAAAACCAGCCTCTGTGAGCCCAGCACATCTATGCTCGATCTGGGTGATGAGTTTATTTAGTACACCATGGCACGCTATGTACATTTGTTCAGTTTTAGCATCAAATATTCTGTTCATTTAAAATATTGAATGTATAATTTTAAAACATTGTGTGTTGTCTTGACAGAAGCATACACATTAAAATTGCGAATATTATATTGCAACAGGATTGAACCGCGAACACATATCAAATATCAAGTCGAACAGGGTGGATGGAAAAATGTGGATGCCGTATGGCTGAAGGCTGAATTGTATCTACTCTTTGGGAGTCTGCAAATTCTATTAGTGTCGTAGGAATAGGCCAAATTTTATTGGATTTTCTTTTACTGAAGTCACAGCACAATTTTCATGGATAACAACAGTACTGTGTTTGTGCTGGTTTTATTTTGCTCTGGGGTTTGGGTGGGTGGGGGAAGAAAGAATCTTTTCAGATAATAATTTGAAAACGGACGTGCGCATTGCTGAGAACCAGATCGAGAGAATCTACTTAGCATTACGCATGTTTAAAAGAGGCTGCATGTTAGCATCTTAATTCAGCAAGTTCAGGCAATATGAGAAGTTACTTGCATGAAGGGCATTATGTAAATGCAAATTGTTGTTGCATTTACAACAACAAATTGCATTTCACGTCGGGAGGATGTCCCAAGGAGTTGCATAATGAGGGGTTTGCATCCAAGCTGCGGGTTGGGTGGAGGGGAACAGGGCAGGAGGTGGGAAGATTATCAAAGACACGGTTATTGTTGCTAAGTGAACTAAAGCTTCAGATTTTTCAGACTTTTTTTAAAAAAAGTATAATCACAAGTAGGAATGGACATACTGTTCAATTGTATAAATTGTATTCCTTCTGTGGCCAACATCCTTATTAAGATTTTTGTAGGTTGGGTCCAGTGTTTATGCAAACCTGAGTTCCTGTTCTAGGCTCCAAGTTAAAAGCACAACATGATTCTCCATTTACTCAATTTTCCTTAGCCAGTGCTGTGGGAACAAGTAACTGAATAACCCAGTCAGGTGCATAGAGTCAGCATATTATCTTCTCTGTTTTGGTAGGTGCAAAACATCATGATTTGAAAAAGGTGAAGCCTTAGAAATGCTGCATATTTCTTTGGCCACAATTAGCTTTCAGATTCATGATGTTTTTGCATAAAAAATAAACAATATGATTGAATCCTTTCGTGTCAAAAATTTGAATTTGTTTGCCAATATATTGTACAATAACAAAATCAGATGGTAATTTGCCCTACTTTCAGATCTATCTTTCTCCAAATTTAAACATTAGCTAGCAGGATTGCCTGATTGGCTTACTAAACACTTATTTCTGTCTCTTATCATTCCATTTGCAGAAATCCTAACAAAATATTCTGTTTAATTTTATATTTGCTATTATTTTCCAATATCATCACTTCTGGTTCTATAAGAACCATCATATAAACTTAGCTTAACTGCTGTACCCAGTCTAGTATCTATTTGATGGAAATAAGCACATTGACATTCAGACTTACCACATCGTCTCATCCATAATTCATTTTTTTGCAAGACCTCCAAATTGTGGCGCTCTGCTCTGTTTTTCCTTCTGTCAAAGTCAGTTGCAGCCTGTGCCTGGTATCACCTAACAAGTTGTCGACTTATCTTGTTTCTCCACAATACTTTTCAGGCACAGTTGTGTACTGTGCTAAGGGTGTCAGCCCTTCATATTGTTCCTGAATCAGTATTTAAAAAATTCTGTCTACTGTGTATTTTATATTGCTCTAGTGCAGTACACAGATTGAATACCTCGTGAAGTAAGTCTCTTATTAAACTACTGGTGGACTGAATGAGCAAGTTTTATCACAGAAAACACATTCCAGCTTCAGTGGAAGGTTGGAGGTCAGTTTCCATTGGGAGGATTAACACAGTGTCATTTGGCCCTATGTTTTTCATTTGTGGAATAGTAGATATTATCCATTATTATGAGTTAGCTTTTAAACTAAGCAATGTTCTTTTCCACCAAACTTGGTCTTAACTACATTGAGCTTATAAACCGCCAAAAAAATTGTTTGTTTTTTAAATAATGTGTATACAATCAGATTTGCCAGGTTTGCTTGTTTACTATTTAACTGCTGCAGTTTAAGGGGAAATGATTCACTTTAAAAAATATTGACGCATGGCTATATTTACAAGGATCCCTGTATAGAAAAACAAATAAATGCAATGAAGTGGGGTCAGAGTGAGAGGCAAAAAATAGGCTCTCAGTTTTACACTATTCAGTCCTCATTGTGTAAAATAACTTTTGGCCATTGGCATATGTTATAAAAGGGTGGAATTTTCTCATGCTGATAGCACTATTCAATGGAACGAACCAATCTGCTGGACTGAGGTTCAAGCTAGGAGTTGAAATTTGTATTAAAGGGATTTTTCAATTTTATTTTGCTCTTTGATGTTAATTAGCTTCTTGATTAAAAATGCAAGTGCAATACATAATCTGTATTTATTTACTGGGTGAACAATTTCCTGCAGGTAATTTCTTGACATACCTCTTAAGAAGGTTAGCTTTGAACCTAATTGCAACTGCTTCAAAGTTATTCCTGGTTCTGGTACAAACGTGGGTTAGAATGATGGTTAGAATGATGATGGTTTGGTCAGAAACTTGAAAATAATGCTGTACGAAGCCTGATAATAATAACACAATAATCCTTGCACTTGATATATATATATATATATATAGTGCCTTATCACGACATTCAGATGTCTCAAAGCGTTTCACAGAATATACTGTAAAGTGAATTGATTATGTTTTGTGGACGAAATGCAGCAATTGATAGCATTTGAGCTATATTTGCATTGCTGCACGGGCGCCAGTGGCGACTAAGAATGTTATAAGTACAATCCAAGCAGCTCAATACATTTGTTGCCTTATTGATTTAGTTTGGATTTTTTTTGAAAAATTAGGTTAAAAATACTTACTAATGCCAACAACAAATAGCTCAGCTGTGCCTTTTAAAATAACTGTGCATTACTTTTCATTTTACTGCTAGCTCAGATTTTACTTCAGTGGTTTATTCACTGCAAACCCTTCACTATCCAGCTCCTCGGGATGTCCTCCTGACGTGAAAGGCAGCTACGTAAATGCAATTTGTTGTTGTTCTTTGTGAAGGCCTGTGCTTGTGAGCAAATGGAGTCTATGGGTTCTGTTGTGTTGGCCACTGAGATAACATAGTGGAAGATGATACGGATAACTTTGTTACATGTGACAGCTTTTTAACCAGGTAGTCACAGCTTTAATGTAAGAGTAAAATGCATTTTATGCAAGACTGTAGAAATCCTCAAGATGTACTATAGTAACTTCTAAGCTTCTCACCACTGACTACTTTGTACAGCTCAATACAACAACAAGATTTCATACACCTCTCTCTCTCTCCTGCATATGTGTATGTGTACGTCATCTTGGTTTAAAAAAAAACATTTACAATTTTTAACAAAAGATGCAAATTTGAATAACTTAGTTTGAACAGAAAATGGGATGGAAGAAAGCAGCTTATGTGAGCAGGTTTTGGCTTTCAACCCAGATGATGGTTTTTATTTTCGAAATCAGGAATTGGCGCTGATATCATGAGAACGCAACGACCTTTATAACTGTTCTTTATGTGGAGGATATGTTGCATAGCGTAGCTTGGGTATTGCAAAGCTTCGGTATTTTTAAATCGAAGCCTGTTACAGTATTAAGCAACAGTATTGTAGTCGCAACAATAAAAATGAATTGTTTTTACAGACCTGTGACTTTGGCTTCTGTTGTGTTCATAGCATTTCATAGGTACTGGCAGGTTAGATATTCACACTATGATTTTAATGATCCACTTGTTTCACCCCAGACTCACGTGCACATTCTATTTAGATGTACCTTAATAACATTGACTATTCTGAAGATTAATTTTGTCATAATGAGTTTCATTGATTGACCAATGACTTCCTGAAAATGGAAACACTGGAAGCATTGGCTGCCACGTTTCGCCCACAAATATACAGGCAATTCACTTTATGGTCTATTCTGTGAAGCACTCTTGAGACGTCTAGAAGATTTGAAAAAGCGCTATATCAAATGCAAGGATTATTATTATTCTTTATTCAAGGGGACTCTGGATGGCTGATTGCTGGTAGTTCTGTACTTCATGAAGTTAGGCAGCTCCTCATGGGAATGGTCTGAAACTTCCTTTTAATGCATGTTTGTAGAGCATGGTTGGATAGAAGGAGCTGGTACATGTACATTACCTTAGAAAGAAGGTATATTACTGATATGACAATATTTTGTCTAGGAAATACTTTGAGCAGAAAGTACTCCCAGCGGCTTTTTCTTTATCAATCGATGAGCTAGTGCAGTGGAAAGTTGGGGAAAAAAAGTAACACTGAAGCTCAGTGATATTTAACTGGCTTGTGATGATTCCAGCAGCAATTGGCAATTGATCTTTAAAACCAAGAATCCTTTTGATAATGTTTCATTATTTTGTTAGATATAATGGACATCCAAAGGCATTCAGGTTTGGAGAAGTATATAGCATGCACCTTAAAAATGTAATCTCTCAATAACCGCATAGCTTTTAACACCGCCGATAGTGGTATATCTTGGACGGAGGAATGGATTCAATCTTGCAAGCCTACCAATGGATTGCAAGATTGAATCCATCTTGGATTTATCCATCTTGGAATTTGCTTGAAGTTGCATCTGTAGGATCTCTTGTGCCCACCATTGACTGTAGAATGGAAGGAGAACTACCTTAAAAATGGAAGAAACGTCTTACAATGCTGTTGCACTAAGAACTTGTCTTCTTTATTTGTAATGGAACCAAATAACGCTACCAATCCTGCATTATTTTAACACGTTTTCCAAATTGGTTCTTAATAAATGTGATATTAATGAATACCCATAGGTGTGATTTTATATTCTACTTCTGGCACTATTTGCTCATGCATTATCCGTTCAGCTGATTTATGCATTGTATCTCATTAGTTTTGGTGTGACGTCTATTTGAAGTGCTGTTTTGAGTTTTTCAAGCAGGCACTGACCTGGTTGCATGTTTGAATACAAACAAGAATTCAGTTGTTTGGTTAGTATAAATGCGCCAAAAATACTAATGCTGCTTTAGAATGTAATGACAAAAATGCTATCTAAACTGTCAAATGTGAGGTTTTGACAATGTACCACGTGTTAATAATAATAATAATCCTTGCATTTGATATAGCGCTTTTCACGTCGGGAGGACGTCCCAAAGCGCTTCACAGAACACACTGTAAAGTGAATTGACTGTATATTTGTGGGCGAACGCGGCAGCCAATTGCGCACAGCAATGTCCCACAAACAGTCGTAGTTTGAAAATGACCAATTTATTATTGTTTTGTTTTGGAGGGATTATTATTAGGCTCTGTGTGGAGTAAGGAAACTTGCCCAAGGTTTCGCCCTCTGCCTGGAATTGAACTCTCACTTGCAAAGCGAGTGCTCTAACCACTGAGCTACAGGACTCCTGTACTGGATTGTACTGGATTCTCCAATTGAAATGGCTGCAATGTATGCAAAGCCCCGATTTCAGCGTCTCTGTTTTTAAAAACTCATTTTGCCCAAGTAATGCAAACAGAATTTTTAGTTTTAGAATAGATTTAGAAAATGGTGTATTAACATAACTGAAATACAGCAACTTGCATTTATATAGCGCCCTTCACACTGGGTAGCGTCCCGGAGTGCTACCCTGTGCCTTAAGTTTTGAGTTTACTTGGGGACTTTTTTTTAAAAAAAAAATTCTTTGGAGCTCCTAAAGATTGGAAAAAACGTATTGAATATCCGTGTATTCAAATTAACTCGTTAGCCACTTCAGCTTTAGCTTGAACTTAATCAGTTGAAAGAAGAAGTGTAAGTGAAATCCATGTTTCTTCATTGTTCTGAATAGCCTGTGTCAGCAATCACATGGGAAAAATCGCAAGAATCGTTTGTCCTTTATCGCATGATTCATAATGGTCTATCGTAAGTGTTCCTGCATCTCTGTGTTTATCACGTGTATGTTGTTTCTGTTAGTCAGTGATGCCCATTTTTTTAAACGTCATATCGCCATCCTGTGAGATTCAGGTTTTTGTTCAATTAATTTACTCTCTACCTTTTGTATCGCTTCGAAAAACATATCTACCACAGGACGTACTTTTACGCAATATTATAAATGGTTATTTTGGTGCCTTGCAATCGACCCTAATCTAGCACAGTGAATTCCTTCCAATATTTATAATGAAGTTGATTTCAAAATCCCAAATGGCTTCCTGATCAAAGCTACGAAAGATGCAGAAGCCTTGAACTCTCCCTTCCAGTTCTCGCAGCAGAAAAACAACTTAAGAAGCTTAAAGATAAAGCTGCCACTGGTTCAAATCATCATTCAATATCCCTTCCTTAACATTCAAGTTGTCTGGCATTAAATTCCTTGTTGGTTAAACGCTTGGAGCTTTGAAGGGACGTAGCAAGGGTGTTCATTATGTATTAACTAAATGGCACAGCGGGGTTTGATGTAATCACTTACGTACCTTCTATGTTGATCAGTGTTTTCAATCTGTAACCATCATCAAGACCCATGTCAAAACTAGTGAAAAATGGAAGGATCCTAATGTGTTCTTTTCTTTTTTTTAAAAAAAAACCCTTCTCCGTCTCCTTTAAATCCAAAAGTTAGCATACTTTTCAATTTCTTAAATGACACTGTTACCTTTGGAATTAACTGAAAACTCTATACGAAGAGTAATATCAAGCAAAGAGACAAGTTGAACAGTGTAACGCGTTCCAAGTGAGCAAGCTTACCTGATGTATCTTTGGCATGGAATCTCAATTTTCATACAGAGTGAGTCAACATTAATAAGACTTCTCCTTCATTCAGGAAATGAGTAGTTCAGAATGGCCTGAAATAGTGATGTTTGAACAAGTCCAACTCGCTCTGAGCACACACAGACTTGGGCACATAATGTTTTGTTGTTGGTGTTACGTAAGAGGTACAGTATTTGGCACAGAGCACTCCTGCTAAGCATTCACTCTGGCGGCCAGCATGTGAAATCTGACGTCTCGAGCTCAGTGTATACAGTACTGGGTAATGGTGATCTTAAAAGACCTTGAAGTTATCTGTGTTTATGCATTTTCATGCGAACAAAACATCAAATACATTCTTGCCATTAGCAGATGGCTGACTTGTTGCAGCATATGTCAAAGGGAAAAGCCCAAGATTTATTAGTCTCGAAAATATACCCAGTTAGGATTCCAGATACCAGACTCAAAAGTATTGAGTCCCCAGATGATCAGAACAGCCTGGTGTTTCAGCCTACTGAATTTAATACAACTCGTGGAAGGACCTGTTATAGCAATGATTCATCAAAATTAGCCCCTTTGGCCTGTTAAGAAAAGATGGGATTTTTTTTTAAGCTCCATGAGTCATCTGCTCGAGCGAGAAAGAAAGAAATGATTTAGAAGTTATGTCCAGCAGCAATGGAATCATAATCTCATAAATCACAGCAGAATTTAGTCATGATTATGGGGTTGCCATGGGTTACGCTGGGGTAAGAGAGACAAGTAGTAAAGGCACATATACAAGTGTGGGATAAACCTTTTCTTTACTACCTCACCAGAATTTATGTCCGATTAATTCAATGCAATCACAGAAAATATTATCCCTTGTGTTGCTGAATAACTTTTTTCCTTGATTTTATTTTGGAAAAGAAAACATTTCGAAGTGCAGTTATCATTTAATACATTAACCTGCGACCCTCAATTTGAAATGTTAACAACAAACATATCATAGTTTGTTACTGCAACACCCTTTCCCCCCCCCATAAATTATTGTCCATACTCTTTCACCAATTAAGTTTTTCTTCCTGAATCTTTGTGCTATGAGAACACATTGTTGCTACATATCAAATTTTTTTAAAACCTAATATTTTGCACACAATGACGATTGGTAGCTTTTCAACTGCCTTTTCAAAAGAACTTTCTTCCACCTCTGAGTATGATCGTTAACATTGCTTTTGTGTTTTCTTGATTTCAGGCCAAATACATTTCCCAGGGCATTGATGAAATCAAACAAGAACTCAAACAGGATAATATTGCAGTCAAGGCAAATGCTGTCATTAAACTTGCATACGTAAGTACAGCATGAATTTATACATCAAACTTCTTAGACTTTACACACTGCCATTTAAATCAATTGTGCAGAGATTTAGGCCATGCTGGTTTTTCTGAGCATTAAGTAATTATCAGAGTATGCCAACTATAAAATGTCAAGACATTTTCAAGAAGGTATTAGAAGCTCGCTTATTTGGAAGCTTCCCTCGTTGATTCCTTCCCATATTATTTTAGCTTTGTGAGGGGTTAATTACCGTATATTGATTGCTTAAAATTATCCTTGCATTCCCTATCTCTCGCTTTCCCCCCGCACCCCCCAAAAAAAGATAAATACTAATAGTAAAACTGATGTGGGACTGGATGTTATCCATGCTCAACAGAGCATCTTGTTTTATTCTGCTTCATTGTACAGAAGTTTTGTTTGAAGGCTCGTTTTAGTTGATTAAATGATTTTCTAATTGAAATTCTTGTTTTAACATCAAAATGATTGAGTTCCTATTCACTTGAAAGCATTTACCTATTTTAAGATCTCAGATGCGTAAACGACTTGAAATCCTATTGCATTAATGTGCTGATGATGAGATTTTTTTCTTTCTGAATAGCTGCAAATGCTGGGATACGATATCAGCTGGGCTGCTTTCAACATCATTGAAGTGATGAGTTCTTCAAAGTTTACATTCAAGGTAAAGTTCCTTTCATCTAGTGGTTTGGTTGCCACAGGTGCAGCAAATGTAACCTGCTAGGTTTATGTGAGCTGTAAGTGGTTGCGGCCTTGGCAATATTCAGATTGGTCATTGGTACCTTTACCAGAGTCTGTGCATGTTGTTTGCTGGCAATCTCTGCAGCACCCATTGCAGTTCATGCTGCTTTGTTCTTCCACGTGAAGTCTAGATAGAGCAAGTTGATCACTTCCTAGTTTCACATCCAGAATGATGGGACACACTACCTTCTGGTATCTGAGAACACGTGACTGATGTCACATTGAGTGTTATACCCATATTTCATCTGTTTTGACTGCATGCTGAATTGCTGCCTCTGAAGTATCAAATCGTTATCAATCCCGGACTTACTAGAGTTGCCTGCCCTCTTGCACCATGGGCTCGGTTTTAAGGGTCTGAACCCTCAAGGCTAATTTTCAACACACCACTTAAATGATAGATATTTCTATTAAACAAATTTCTATTCAACAAATGTAGTGTATTACACCTCCCTCTTTGGGTTGGAGTGAAATTCCCTGCACTTTCAAAGCTGTTTAAAAACTCAAGCACCACTTTGCCTTGATCTAGCTTGCTTTTTTTTAAACAAACTTTCACTAAACTTTCAGGCGCTAATCCTTCACCTTGTTTTCATCATTTATAAAAAGAACTCTGTCCTAATGTGGATCCCTTTTTAACCTAACACATGTCAGTATCTATTAGGATTTATGTAAGTTTATATAACCAGTATTATTAACTTTTGGGGCCACAGTCAGAATTATTGTTATGTTAATCACTGCTTCAGCATCCAACTGTGAAGTTTCTTTTCAAAAGTTTTATTTTGCATTATATATTCTACAAGAACTTGAGTCACTTATGCATCCCTTTATGTTTAAGGAATCATACCCTTGGCCTTAATTTTTTAAAAAAATTGTTTTCCACCTTTCAACTTCCAGTTATTTCTAACTCAACCCCTTCAAAGTAATTATTCTGCGTCTGGATTCTGCTGTTCCTCTTGAAGAGGAGAAAAAAAAATTGGGAATCGATTGTTTGATTATGGCATGATCACTATTTCAGTGAGCAGGTAGTAAATTTATGGAACAGCTCCTTAGGGAGACAGATGGTGGAAGCAGAAAGTTTCAATTCCTTCAAAAGCAAATGAGAAAGATTTATTTTAGAAATAATATCTTGGGATATGCAATACAAAATTATATTTGTATAGTGCTTTTAACGTCAGGAGGATGTCCCAAGGCCCAGGGGACTATATAGTATATAGTTTGGGGCGTGACATGTACATGCGACTGCCAGGATGGTGGAAGGCAAACTGGATGGCCCTTGGACTTCTTTCATCTAGCAATTCTTATGTATGTTATTATGGAGTAACCTAAGCAGGTGTTTTGTTGTTGGAATTGTCTCGTCATGCTGCTGGGAACCACCGTGAGTTTGGATTAAATTCTGCCCTCTCTTCGTCGCAGAGAATTGGATACCTGGCTGCGTCTCAATGTTTTTATGAAGGAACCGATGTTATCATGTTGACAACCAACCAGATTAGAAAGGTAAGCTGAGACGACGAATATACATTTTTGTTTAATAAAATGTTATTGAGCAGCGAGTGATTGAAATGCAACATAGCATTGAACGTGCGGTGTTTTAAATTTAATTGAAAGTTTTTACTATACACGCAGGACCTCAGCAGCCCCAATCAGTACGATACTGGAGTCGCTTTGACCGGCTTGTCCTGTTTTGTTACCCCAGATCTTGCCAGGGATTTGGCAAATGACATCATGACCCTGGTGAGTTGAATCTATTGTCATAGTGTGCTCTACCCGAGCGTGACCTTTTTTTGAATGTCGCCTTTGTATTTATTCCACTTCCATTCACACGTTAATAAAGTTGGTGATCGTTTTGGTCCACAGATGTCGCACACCAAGCCTTATATCAGGAAGAAAGCTGTGCTTATTATGTACAAGGTGTTCCTCAAATATCCAGAATCCCTACGGCCTGCATTCCCACGCCTTAAAGAAAAGCTGGAGGACCCAGATGCTGGTTAGAGTTTTATTATCTTGTGTTAGATGACTTCCGCCTCACCCACTCCTTCCCCACTTTAAAATCCTGCCTAAAGATCTTCCTTTTTGATTGTGCTTACGGTCACCTCCCCACTCCCTCTCCCCCTGGCTCGGGGTCAGACTCTGGCACTGTCAAGCGCTCCGGGCCTCTACCCTGCGTAAAGGGCGCAAAAGAATACAAGTTTTTACAAGTTCCTGACCAACATAAAGATGCTTTCTAAGCTAATTTGTGGAAACCTTTGTTTTCTTCCAGGTGTTCAGTCTGCTGCTGTGAACGTTATCTGTGAGCTCGCTCGACGCAATCCGAAGAATTACCTTTCCCTCGCTCCCTTGTTTTTCAAGCTGATGACTTCATCGACCAATAACTGGGTCCTCATTAAGATAATCAAACTAGTAAGTTTTCCTTGAACCATATAAACATATCTTTTTGAAAATATTTGGTTGGGGGTGTGTTGGTGGAGGGGAAGAAAGAGAAGTGATCAGTTAAGAGTACTGAAATGTGTGGTTCCTATTAGTGAAGGAAACTACAAGTTACTTGCACCAGGTTTCCTATTGCAGAAACAGTATTTTGCCACAGGTCCCTCAACAAATGCTTTCAATTGTAAATGAATGAGGAACTTAATTGTACAGTGGAATAGATTATGAAAGGGCCCATCCATCTCCCACTGAATAACCAAGGTTCCATTGCTTTCATTCAAAAATAAAAAAAAACATATAATTATTTGGTCACTTGATCCACGACTGGGACGCTGCTGTGCGTAATTGGCTGCCGCGTTTCACCCACAAAACATACAGTCAATTCACTTTACAGTACATACTGTGAAGCAGTTTGAGACACCTTGAAGATGTGATAAACGCTATATCAAATGCAAGGATTATTATTATTTGCATGGCGGGAGTGTCCTTGTTTTAAAGAGCACCACTGCACACTCTGTTCTTTCTTCAGTGCTGCCAACAAGGCCGCCTGCTAAAAATATGCTTACGCTAGTTAATACAATAATAGATAGTAGGTAATGGATAGTAATAATAAATGGAAATACTTTTTTGCATTGCGTTCCAACGATAGTTTAATCTGAACTGAATTGCCCAAACTCTGTTCTGCTAATAGGAAGCTTCTTACTGGAAAATTTCATTCCCCTAATTCCTAAATGATACAATACAATTCACGTTTATACAGTGCCTTTCACGTGGTGAGGGTGGCTAAAAGCGTTTGGTGTAACCATTTAACGCTGATTATATGCTTGATTCTTCCACAAAACTGAACAAGTTCTATAAGGTGCATTTCCTTGATGCTTTTCCACCTAACAATTAGAGGAGATTTACTTGCCCAACAATTGAGGTTGAAGACTGATGAGATTGGGATCAGATTTCTCTGTATTGCACTCTTTGAATCCCACTGAGCATCTGCAGGGGATCAGAGAACAGCTTGTTATGCAACTCCTTTTCTTGGTATCTGATCTCTGTCACCCTCGAAACTGAATTTCCTGCGCATCTTTAAAATGTACTCTGTGCCCTCAATTGCATAACATTGTACAGATTTCTTTTAAGCACGTCGAAGTGGCTCTTGCTAGTCTCTCTGACTATCTTCCTACTAGGAATTGGAGAGGTGGGGAGGATTGTCTGTCTGTCTTTCCTATTATATTGCATAGATTAATGGAGTATTATTAATTGTAAAATGAATAATTTGGGGGATGGTAATCTTGTTTCCACTGTAAAATCTGCCCAGAAACCTCTGAACAATCACTGGTTGTCGTGGAGATGCTGTAATCTGTCAATTTGCTTAAGTCTTCTACATCCCCCAATATAATTTTGGTTTCTAAATTTTTTTTGATACAATTGATTTTTGTAAGATTATTTGGTAACAATTCAACCTGTAGGCACTTCCTACTTTGATAAAATTCTCTGTCCAACTATCCCATTTCCTAAAGGACAACAATTAAAAAAAAAAGTTGTGGAAAGCTCTTGTAGAAAGAGCTCTAATAGCAAGTGCTCGACTTGCTTTTATTACAGCTAAATGGGGTTTTAATGACTGTTAGAATTTATTATACAATTTTAATAAACATTAACCACAAGCTTGCAATTTACTAATGCGATATTCCATTTTAGTTTGGAGCCCTTACTCCACTTGAACCACGATTGGGAAAGAAACTCATTGAACCACTGACAAATTTAATACATAGGTTAGTAATTGCATGTGATTCTTGCCATTTATGGTACAGTGTATTTCTTCAGTGCAAGTGTGTATGTGTGTGGAGACGATTTGAATGCTTCTCTAGTCTCTTGAGGTGCAGGAGACTAAAATATGTCACTGCGTCATTCTTCTGTCCAAGTATCTTCAGCAGTGATTATTGGAAGGCTGAAAGTTTAATTATCTTAAGTCTCATTGCAAATTGACAAAGCGGGAAATCTATCTTCATTTTCTGAGCATCAAAAGTATTCAATTGTGTGTTACTCAGTCCTAAAATAACTGCATGTAACAAAGGAAAATGTGGCACAAAATCTGGATTTGAATTTTTCAAATACCATTCCTGCCTTTTCAAGATTAGATTTGTTAATGATGTTATCGCCTGATTTTTTTTTAACTCTTCAGCCCACAATGTATGTACCACGTTGTAGGCTATGGTGTGAGACTGAGCCTTCTCAAATGAAGTCAGTTACTGTTCTTAAACACAGTGGAACTGCAATTTGGCTATAGTTTTATTGTAACACTAGCTTCCCCTTGTTTTGAGCATGGTGGCTTACAAAAGAAGGATGAAAATGCAATGTAAAATGTGGTCATTTGTAAATCTAAATTAATAAGGAGTTGTTTTATTTTGGAAACATCTCATCCCTAAATTATTCTGCTATATCGTATGTATAAGTCTAGTCCTCACACCAGCTATGGGCCAAGGGGCCTTCTTCATGCAGACTGTTCTTGTGATCTTATTGTTTTATAAATATCTGCTATCAACTCTTTGAAAGTTCATGTGATGTCAAAATATGTTTGTTAATAAATGAAAATGTTTTCCTTTTTTTAACAGCACCTCGGCGATGTCCCTTTTGTATGAATGTGTGAACACAGTTATAGCAGGTAATGTCCTAAGGTGATCCCTATGGGGTCTTAAAAAAAAGTGTGCTATTCAGTCTGTAACCAGTCTCAGAGTTTGCGTGCTAAACATTTAACACACAATTGTGTATTCAACTCTAAGCCTAGTGTGGTTCTTTTAAAATGTCCAACTTGAGAAAGGTCAGTAATATGTCTTGTAGTGAGGAGCATTGGGTAACTTAGAGGAACAGTTGAACACTGAGGGAATACTAGAGCAAGAAGAGGCAAACTCGGCAGAATCAGTGAGTGAATGTGGATTAGAAAAGAACTCGGAATAAAAGTTTGGAAAAATAGAGACACGTGTGGATTTAATTGTAAAGATGAATAGCATTTAAGAAATTAGTTTGCATTACAAACAGTATTCAATCATTTTCAAAATCTCCACTGTATTCCATTTGCAGATTCGTTTGTGAAAGTCAGTAGAGCGTGTAGCCTGCGTGGGGGGTGTTGGGGGGCGCAGTTATAATACCTCTGTGTTCATGGGATTTTTTGCAAATACAAGATAATGTGTTACGGTGAAATGAAAAACATTGACTTCTTTGGTAACAACTTAAAATATAGTATTGAGCTGGAAAATATCTGCCCGTAGTTGAAGGCTGTGGATTTGGTTTACTTTGAGAAACTATCTAATGATATCTTTTGCTGGAAGATGATGCATCATTTGCTAATGTACCCTGGAGACGTTTATATATTTACTCGAGTTTCATTTATGCAAAGTAGAAGGCCAAGCAGTGAGGCTCTTTAACATAAGTCGGGACAATGCAGTTGGTAATGAAAGTGGTTGCTTGCTTAAAAGAGAAAGCAAGGGTTTTAATGGTATTAAAATCAATATATTTGATGTGTCTGGAAGCCAGGTATGTTAGCGTAGATTTCCCAATATCTTAGAAGTACAACTAGCGTGAGCCCATTTAATCCAGAGTAAGAGCTATGTGCATGAAATTTTGAAGCACTTAAATCGAATGCCGCATTGCGTTGGTCTAGGAAATTTGTTTTCTAAGATTAAGCAAGTTTAATGGAGAATGTCAGTGTATTAAGCGAGCATAAGTGTTTCAAGTTCTTAAATTGAGGGGAATTCTTTCAACCCTGACAAGACCATTTTCCTTTTTCTTGTCTGGCTTATTCATTGAAGACAAACTATGTTGGGGGAGATGGGGGTGAGGGGGTCACCATTAAGTGTAAAACATCTGTCGGAGTCCCATTTGGATATGCCGATGTCAACCTTGAAGTCATTACCACTTGGAGAATATAGTGTTGGGCATTGGTGTGGGAGTTATTTCTGCCATTCAGTTAGTGATGGGAGTGAATTGGGGATATAAAGATCATGTTAACGTAACCTTTACTGGCAAAATGCTTGAGCGTTTTGTAACAAGCTCAAAGCAACTGTTTCAGCAGCTGCTTAAAAACTATACATGTACATAATGAAACTAATCTTCTTTTCCTCTAGTTCTCATCTCCTTATCCTCGGGAATGCCGAACCACAGTGCCAGCATTCAGGTACCAAGTGTTTAACAGCCATACTGCAACACCATCCTAGATCAAAATACAGTAGAGCCCTCCTTTATAACACAGTAGTTGGTGTTTTTTTTCCATAAAACATCAATTAGTGCTACAATGGGACATGATCACTGGTTAGCATTCCCTTTGCACGCTTCAGAAAGTTGGCTTGCTTCAAAATATTAGCTGACTTTTGCACACAGCGAATTGGCTGACTTCTGGATCATCGGGCCGCTGCCAATGGCGGTATGGGTGTGTGGTTGGTTTGTGTGTGGGGGGTGTGGGGAAGAACCCGAAAACCTGGAAATCGATCTTTTTTTCGAGTGCAAAAAGTTGTCGAGCATTTTGAAATGAGCCAGCGGGCTTTCTGCTGTTACTTTGGATTTCTTGCTGAAGTTTCGGGGTCCACCCTATCAGTAAACTCGCATTATAATGAAGCCTGCTCTGTGGGTTCCACCGTCTGCGTCTTGGATATGGCCTGAATTGAGAACTTCTCGAATTCTTTAAAGCGTTCATCTTATGATTACTTTGCCATATCGTTTCATCACATTATTATCTTGGGCCATTTGCCTAATTCCATAAAAATCGTTGAAGTTTTAATTGTGGTGAAAGCTACTTACTGCAAGGTTACTGCGAATCGGTGATTTATATTCAGAGGCTGTAGTTACTTAAATATCGGAAGGTGTGCCTTATAAAGGTAATTATTGTCGAAATCATGTAATTTTACTAAATCTACCCTACATTTGCAGATGTATCATGTTGTGGATCTCATACCTCTAGCTTGACCTTCCTTTCTTACTTCTAGCTTTGTGTGCAGAAATTGCGAATTCTGATTGAAGATTCTGACCAAAACTGTAAGTAATTGCCTTCACGTGCTGGGGAAATGAATATTTTATTTTATATTGGCTAGATTTTTCTGCAATCCGGAGTAACTCATCTAAGCCACTTTTCATGTACAAGCCGAGGGCAAGGAGCGTTGGACTGTGAGGGGAAGTCACAGAAAAGCAATCATGTCCTCGCCTGACATTTTTCAGCAAGGAGTTACTGAGTAGAAATCAGATACTGAGCCCTGCTGACTTTTTCTTCTGTCTCCCAGGCTGGGGCACTAATAACTGTATCATCCCTACTACTATGCCAGCTGGGATCACAATTTAGGGTCATGAACATGATTGAATGTGCACTTGGCACCGCTTTTACCATTTGCGCCATTGTGATGTTTTCTTTGGTTAAATCTCTGTGTCACTTTTCTTTGCCCAGTTGAGGTGTCTGGATTGTGGAGTCCAATTGGCCTCACTGATGCCACTCTGTGGCTACATGTTAAAGAGTTGTGTTGCTTATAACGTTGATCGATCAGTTCATTTCTCGGGATAGTTCAGGTCAGAATCTGCCAATGTTAAGCGGACCGGGACCCTACCCGGTGTGAAGGGCGTTATATAAATGCAAGTTGTTTGAATTTTGCTCAGTATTGGATTTTGAACAGTAAGAGCCTTCTTAATGGAAGCTCAGCACACGATGGCTGAGGACACAACATAAGGCAAGTCAAACTGCTAAATAAACCTTATTGCGGCCGTTGCAAACATTGTTAAAATGATGTTCCTCAAAGCATTTATTTATACCGTGACCAGGATTCAATGATTCTGAACTGTCTTTCAGTGAAGTACCTGGGTCTGCTGGCAATGTCGAAGATTTTGAAAACACACCCCAAGTCTGTGCAGTCCCACAAGGATCTTATTTTACAGTGCTTGGACGACAAGGATGAATCAATCCGACTACGAGCATTAGACCTTCTCTACGGGATGGTAAATCTGCGTTGCTTTTTTGTGACACAAAACCTGCTTTCCTTTCCACAAACGTTTTCTAACCTTAACAAGGGAAAGGAAATACTTCTTCCTCAAGAAGTAGGTTAATTTCCGGCCCCACCACCACCACATGACCTCTCCTTATTTTCTGGTGGGGTATAGTTTTCGCATTAGCAACTTGCCAAATGGCAAGTCCTTTCTCAGGTTGATTGATTGCGGTGACATTCACACACTTGCATGCATGTTTACAGGCAGACGTACTGTGGATTGAAACCCAACTTGTCTGTTAGAATGCAAAGTATCATGGATAAGGCTCAGTAATAATAATAATCCTTACATTTGATATAGAACCCGTTTCACATTAGGAAGCCATTTCCAAGTACTTTGCAGCATTTTTTTATATATATACACACACACACACTGATGCTCAAATAACACTTGTGTGTCATGTTAACAGGTTTCAAAGAAGAACCTGATGGAAATCGTAAAGAAACTGATGATTCACGTAGATAAAGCCGAAGGTACAACATACAGAGACGAGCTGCTGACAAAAATCATTGATATTTGCAGCCAGTCCAACTATCAGTACATCACCAATTTTGAATGGTGAGTTCTGGCTATAAATCAGCGCGTAACATAACTTCGCTTTCAACATGAACCCTGAATAACGTGGAAACGTTTCTTCTTTTTGCTGATTTGATTTCATTAAGGCATCCTGACGTGAAAAGGGTGCTATTGCGAATGTAATTTGTTGTTGGTGATTTGATTTATACCCTTTGAAAAAACACAGGTATATAAGCATCCTGGTGGAACTGACTCGTCTGGAAGGAACACGACACGGTCACCTCATCGCAGCACAAATGTTAGACGTAGCCATCAGAGTCAAAGCTATCCGAATGTTCGCCGTCTCCCAGATGGCTATGCTGTTGGACAACGCTCACCTGCTTGCTGGCAACATGCAGAGGAACGGGATCTGTGAAGTTCTCTACGGTGCAGCTTGGATCTGCGGTGAATTCTCAGAGTATGTATCCCTCGCACACGTACCATTTTGTATATTCGCAAAGTACCCACAAGCTGCCTCAGTTAAAACCTCGCCTCACAATCTTAGCTTTGGCACAGCAATTAACACGTGCAACCAAGAAGCAGGGAAACCCTTGTTGCGATGTTTAAAAACCGAAGGGAGTGAGCAACAAAAATAGTCGTCGCTTTCAAAATTTGAGTCGGAGAAGGCAAAATGGAGGAAAGTAGTTGGCAGCTACACTTCAATATTAGCTGGAGGTGAAATCCTCACTTTCTTGTTTTCTCCAACAACAATGAATGCTGCTCTAGTTCTGTACGATTTTGTTAGAGGGAAATTTCCACCCAGGAAGGTGGAAAACTGGGCTTCCTCTTAGGTTCTGTCAAATCTTGGCTTTTAAAGTTAACTTTGTTTTAAATCTCATCAAATTTCTGACATTGCCAATTCCTATGAAGGTGCGGCAGGAGTTGGAGCATTTTCAAGTCCATTATTTTATGACTCCCTTTCAGGCAATCGCATTTGTGTGTTCGATTTAAAACCCGAATATGTTAAGATTGTTTTTTGTGGAGCGCAGAAGCCACGTCAGCGAAAACACACAGAAAAGGGTTTGACAAACTGCCATGTGTGTGTCAGCAACTCAGATTCTGCCAATCGCAAAGAAATCAAAAAGCATTAATAGTTCATGGACTTTCTGGTAATATCAGCCAAAAGCAGGAATGCAAATGTTTTGGTTTGCAACTTTATTCCATGCACTCCGGGATGCTACTCTGCGGGATGGGCGCTATATAAATGCATGTTGTTGCTGTTGTTCATGCAAATTAGGCTGTGGAAAAGCAGGACACTTACCACAAAAAAAATGTAATTCGGAATTTTTCTCTCTCAATCCTTCTTTGTCAAAAATAGGCTTCAAACAGCAAGAGTGCGAAAGGTTGATGTACGTACGTGTAGTTTTAACTTGTGTACCTTTTCCAGACATCTTCAAGAGCCCAATCAAACGTTGGAAGCTATGATGATGCCTAAAGTCACCACGTTACCAGGGCACATCCAGGCGGTCTATGTACAGAATGCTGCCAAGCTATATGCATCAGTATTGCAACAGAAGGAGCAAGCAGAGGACCAGGAAGGTGCTCAGGAAATAACCCAGATGATGATCGACAAGCTCCCACAATTTGTTCAGAATGCAGACCTTGAAGTTCAGGAACGGGTATGTAAAATAAACAATATCATATAATAAATAATAATAAACCCGTAGCTCGGGTTGCTATTTTTTCTGTTTGACCCTGGACGTCAACAGACTACTGAACCTGAATAAACTGCTAATCTACTAGCACGCAGTTGAATTTTATCTCTTTCGAATATCTTTCAATGAATCCGAATGCTATTTTCCCTTTTTTCCAGGCATCCTGTATTCTGCAGCTGATAAAATATGTTCAGAAACTTCAAGCGAAAGGTATCCCTGTGGCAGAGGAAGTTACTGCTCTGTTTTCTGGAGAACTTAACCCAGTAGCACCCAAAGCACAGAAGAAAGTCCCACTGCCAGATGGGTAATGACCTCTGATTTTTGACGCGAGTCTACCAAATAACGTGCATGAGTTAATCTAAGGCTGCGGGGGAGATCACAATTTAGTGGATTGCCCTTGGGTCGCGAGAGGAGTGGAGGTCTGTGTACAAAAGATCACTTGATGTGAAGAAGGTTGATGAATATGGAGTTATCAGCAAAAGAGTTGATTGGGTCGGGGTGAAGAGTAGGGGAGGCCATTGATGTGGAGAAGGCAGAAAGGGGGAATATAGAACCAAGTCTGGAGGAGTGACTTGAGTGATGAAGAAAGAGTCAGAAGATGAGCCATCAACTGCAGCGGAAAGGGATTTGAGAGGAAACTAGATGCCCGTGAACAGACTGTATATTTAGAAGTACACAGTGCTAGTCTTCTTAAAAGTCGTGGAGAACTTCCTTAACTACTCTATGAATAAGGCATGCAACAGGTTTGTTCAACATCAGAATGCTCAGCTAATAACCTAAGGCAACCTCATTGACTATCTCACATCAGCAGCACAGGTATATAACAAAAGATGATGGTAAACCTGGACACTATGTATTTTCAGACTTGAAATAGAAATGTGACTTTCAGCGCTTCTCTCCTCATCAGGTTGGATCTCGACGTCTGGATCAACAGACCACCTGCAGAAATCTCTTCTGATGATGAAAAGCCTAAGAAAACAATATTTCACGATGAGGAACACAGACACGTGAAACCCAGACAGCCAGAGATGGATGAAGATGAGCTTGCTCGGGTAACTGCTATGTTCAGGGGAAATTGATAACCAAGTGAAAAGCAGCTGTGCTTCGAATATATATTCTGTGTATTTTGTTTTCTCTCAAATTAGTATTTTCAAATCCAATGAAGTGATGTGCTTCAAGGGAATTTTTGTGGGTTGGTGTCATGTGTGTGTTTATTGTTGTTGACCCCTCCATGCTTCTTCCCTTCTGTTTGCCCCTCACCAATTAATTCCCCCGCCCTTTTGTACTGATTATGCTGAATTACAATTGTATGGCCTTCGGAAGTCTTCTGATATCTCACTCCTGGCCATTAGAAACGTTAAATTGATATATTTTGATCCTTTCATTTGTTTAATTTGAACAATGGCTGGTGTTGAAACTGTAACCAACATGTTAACTTAAGCCACAGTTTCTGGTGGTGAGATTTTTCAGCTTCATGGTTTCACTTCTCTCCAATTGCTTACCCACATTTAGTTGCCTTAAGATGGTTTGCAGTTTCCAACGAAATGTAATTTGTTCTTTTTTTTTCCTCTCTCCTCTCCCACCCTCTTCTTAGCGTCGGGAAGTAAGGAAACAGGAGCAGGCAAATAACCCGTTCTATATAAAGAGTTCTCCATCACCTCAAAAGGTACGCATTTCTCTTTTTCTCCCTCATTGGTGTCATGGTTTCCAGACATCCCAAGCTCTCCTCCCTTGGCAAGGGCGGGGTTTTGGGCTGCATAACATCTGTCAATCCAGCTTAATAAAAAAACAGCGGGGCTTCAGTCTGCAGAGAGCTCCTATCTATCTGATCCTGCATTCTCTTGAGTTTCCTTCCTCTTAAGCCACCATGAACCTAAATGAAACTAGCACGTTTTTAAGAATTGAAACTTCCCATTTGTTGTTTGGCGATTTGCTCAACCATTTGACTTCCCTGCCCCCACCGGAAAGAAGGCACAATATAGTAACTGCTTGTCATATTTTTAAAAAAAACCACTATCTGTAGGTGAATATTGTCTCGGGTTAAATTTGTACCAGAATGGAGGTTAGATTTTAGTGAGGGGGCGAGGAGGCGATGACCGAAACCACAGTCAAAGAGGGTCTTAAAACAGGTTTTAAAAGTGGTGAGTGAGGGGGCAAATCGCAGGATGGACTTCTAAAGAGCTGGGGGTGGGGTGGCGCAGAATGGCTGAAAGCTCACCCTCTGATAATTGGCTGATTGGGTAGTGGGACATTAATAGGTCAGTGTTCGAAGAGCAGAGAGAAGGGGCCTTATCTGAAGTATCTCAATAGGCTCCATTGTTCCAAAAGAAGAGATTCTCTGAATTTGTTAATGATGTAGAGTATTAATAAGTGATCTGATAAGCTGAGCCAATATTTTGTTTGTCTTTTCAGAGTTATCAAGATGCTAGTGGTGTGGAGCACATACCTGTGGTACAAATCGACCTCTCTGTACCATTGCGTGTACCAGGTAATTGACTCAACTATTCTGGTTCACTAGATACCATTTATTGTATGGAGAGAGTCATTTGCTTTGGGGTTATTTAGTGATGTTTTATAGCTAGCATAGTGTGCCAGCCACGCAGAATGTCACATTGCCTGAAGAACGTGAGTGAAGCTGCTTGCTTTCATTCCAACTCTGTTTGCAAGTTTTCACACTCAGCAACAGATGATCATTCAACCCATCATATGACGAGTTTTGAAAGTTGTTGATTCTTGGGGCACACGTTTTCTGAAATGCATTAAAGAGTAGCAGCGCAGTTAATAGTGTGGTCTACGTTTAACGTGTAGAAAAATGCACTAATTTTCCTGTTCTTTTGCAAACCCCCAGTTTGGGCTGTATGCCTCTGGTATACCCCCCTGGTTTTTCATGGCTTCAGCTGGTGAATCCCAAATTAAATAAATAATTGGCCAAAAGAAAACCTGAATGAACCATGTGCAATACATGAAAGTTAAGATTTACATACATGTCCAGATCCCTTGTTGGAATTTGTGCTTGTTTATATGCTGGCTTCAAGTCAGCTCTCATCTGCTTCAAGCCAACGTTCTTCACCCGACCATCTGTTGTGGTGTTTGAGCGCTGGGTTTCAGAGAAAATTAGAATTCACTGCGGACATCGGTGAAATTGAAGCCAGCAGAAATGTCACAACGTAGAATATTACAGGCTGCTTGTTGTCAAACTCCCATTAACTTAAATCCTAGTTAGTGCAATTCTTTTTTGCTTAAAACATGGCGTGCGGATGGCACCTTAATGCATGCCTTGATGACTTGAGAACCTGGGAATGGGCTTGTCTCAGTTCTATTAACTGGAGTACAGATTAGAGATGTGACTAACACCCAAGATTTTCCCTAGCTTCCCGCACCTTGACTGACTTCGTTTTCCTTGGGCATTTAGTTTATTTGTAGGCTGTCTAGATGCAGTAATTGTTATATTGATGCGCACAGGAATGCCTTTGTCAGATCAGTATCTTAAACTGGAAGAAGAACGCCAGCAGAAGATCGACCGAGAGAAGAGGAAGAAGAAACAGAAGAAGGACAAGAAGGGCAAACGCCGCCATGATTCGCATCACACAGAAAGCGATGAGGACATTGCTCCTGTCCATCACGTGGACATTATCACAGAAGAAATGCCCGAGGTTGGTAGTGAAAAGGCTTTTGTTAGTCACCTTCTAACCATGGGTAATAATGGATTTTGTCCAGTCTGACAGATGGTTTGAAGAATGTTTCTGTCCTGGGAAGGATAATGAAATCTGTCCAAGTGTATTGGAGATTTAAGTTACTCAAATAATCCATTGTAAAATGATCACTTGAATGAGAATTCATTTCCACCATTCAAACAACCCCCCCCCCACCCCCTTAAATTCATTTAGATTTACCTTCAGTTCACAATGTGCAGAGTGAACTGTTAGCATGATGTGGAGTTTTGTGGGTTGACATTTGGGCAACTTCAACTCTGCAAGAGCTCGCCACACTCTTTATTTGTCATTAACGGGCTTTAAATTGACGATCCCTAAAGGCTACGGATTTGTGTGGGAAAGCGTACTTGAGGTGCTCCGAGACACTGCTCCGCGTGAAGGGGGCTATATAAATACAAGTTGTTGCCATATCAACCTGTTCACTCCCTCCGCTCAGAGGGCTTCGTCCTGCTCCACCATCGGTGGTCAGGCCTTCAGCTTCTCTTCCCCCACCCTTTGGAACTCCATCCCACAATCCCTTCGCCTCCCTCACCTCCTTCAAGGCTTCTCTTTGTGTTTGGAGACCGATGAGCAATTCTAACATTTAAATCTTCAATATTAGGCTTTGGCTATAGTACATGATATTGGGGTGCTATTTTATTTTAATCAGAATGCCTTGCCCAGCGATGATGATGATAAAGATCCAAATGATCCCTACAAGGCCCTCGACATTGATTTGGATAAGTAAGTATATCTTTGCTCAGTATGTTGGGGAATATGCAATTATTTTTGTGAAGCTGGAGGGAGGGAATGCAATATCCTTTGCCGCATCAGTACATGCTTTGTTTGCAAATGATAGTATAAAACTTCCTTTGGGTAATTATTGATTGCAGTAAATATCGAGGTAATTTTTATATAACAATTAACCTACCAGAATTGCAGCAGTGTGATCAGCAGTCTGATTATTCTTGAGCACTTAAGGTTCCCTGTGGCAGAATTTGCCTGCATAAATCATTTCTTTGTCGGTTTCCTCTCCTCTTGTGAAGAGAGCGACGCAAAACAGAAGGCTACAGCCCGCTGGGTACCTTGCTCTGGTCACTGTTCTTCGTGTGTTAGCCTGGCCAGTGAGTTTTTCACAGGCTGTCTGACCAGGGTAGATATCGTCGAGCCTGACCCTGTCTAGGTGTGCACTTTGCAGCAAGGATTTGTTAGACTGTGATCGGTAACTGAGATGAATTAACACAGAACAGAGCCTGAAATCTGCTAGTCCGCACGGCTCATTATATTTAGAATTGCCTTTCCCCCCTGTTATGTCATGTGCTATACAAATGTAATCGTTGTTGTTGTGGATGCAATTATAATCTAACGAAAATACAGTTTTAGTTTGATGTGAGCGGTAAGAATATCGAATCGTAAATGCGATGCATGGTTTTAGGTGCATTAAATTATAAATTGACTCCTTTTTGTAGGTAGTTTTACAGCACCCTCATTCATACGTTTTCTCCAGATTCGACTCCACTTTCTCCTCCTTCTGGAGTGTGACTCTCTAGGCATGGGACACCTGATACCTAGCTCAGTTGGGGCTTTACTTGTGTACGAGCCTCGACTTTGCAGGCTCGACCTTGGGGGAAATGCTTCCAGGCCCCCATCTAGTCAGTCCTCGCACGATATCCACCCATGCATATCTTCCAATGGGAGATGGTGGTTTGGGAAATGCTGATCAATGATCAGGACGGTGTAAGATGACCTTGTTTCCCCTCCCTCACCAATGTGTGCGGAGCCACATTATAGCACCCGGACTGCTGTTGGCCTCTGGGCACCGAACTTTCTCCTTAAACACTCGAGTGTTGGCAGTCTCAACTGTCTTCACCTGACACCTACACGCCTTCAAACTGGGGTGATCGGACTGTGATCAGAAGCAGGCGTTTTCTGTATTTAAACCCCCAGCTGCTTCTTTCTGGTCAATTGTAATGATCCTAATTTCTACTCCGGCCGAGATCAGCAAGCTCAGTGCACTTAGGACCTTTGTGCTGTGTGTCGCTTGGTCGAATGATCATCGCTAAAACCTGTGAACAGCCCCGGAGTGTGATTCTCTTTTATTTTATGTTTTCAAGTTTGATTTATTTTCAGTAAATCTCACTGTCTTGTGAAAATTCAATTCCTTGCCCTCGGCACGATCGAGAAGAGAAATCTATGAATTGAATTTTAAATTCTGCCTCTTTTGTGTGTTCAGTGCTGTCTGTTCCTTTTGTTCTCCTTCTCCCCTATCTTCCCCACGCCTCTCAATGTGCCTTGTGTTCTGCATGAGAGAGTGTCAGGCAAACGATTCCGAGCCCTGTACTTGTGATTAGCCCCTTGATGTGTAAGAATGGTCTGCCTCAACTTTACTCTTCTTTATCTTTCTCTTCCCTTTTTTTTCAATCCCACCTTCTCTGAAATTGTTCTGAGCTTCACTCTACATCTCCCTAGTCAGCCCACTTCTTATTAAAAGCTGGCTATGTAGCAGGCGCAAAGGGTACATCTTTGATGCCAATACATTAGCAGAGCTTATGTATATAGTATTGTATATATAGTTCTGTAGTCTTAATGAAATATTTCAGCGCCTTGGGACGTCCTTCCAATATGAATAGCACTAGAAATATAATTTGTTGTTGTTATAATAGTAAATAAAGTCAGTACTAGTGGAATAAAAATGTGCAAAATATGTTTTAAGCATGTAAAAATTAGACTATACTTAAGCGTAACCAAATGGGCAACTGAATTTGAAATAGTAAACAGCATACTTGTTTTTTTTTAAAGTAACTTGCAATAATAGTTTTCTAAAAGGAGTATGAGTAGTTGACATTGTAAGTCTACTCTCTAAAATGTTTTCTATCTCAGCACAATAAATAATTTACGCAATTGCAGTGATGTGCCTAACGCAGCAGAAACATCTATTTTTTAGTGAAGACAAGTGCCATTCCAAATATAACTTCAGGTACATTTGCTAAGATTACATAGGAACACAGAAACAGGAGTAGGCCATTCAGCCCCTCGAGCCTGTTCTGCATTCTATAAGACCATGGCTGATCTGTATCTCAAGTCCAATTCTTTGTCCTTGCCCTGTATCCCTTAAGACCCTGACCGAACAAATATCCTCCACCTCAGTCTTGAAGATGTGACTGGATCCACGTAATACACAACAGTTCGACATCAATGCTTAGTTTTTAAGTTCTCTAATTCTTGCTTATAATGTGTATTTCTGGTTTATGGCTGCTGAATGAGTTCTGTCTTTCTTTCTTCTCTTTCTTCACACTTGATATGTCACTCCTTCCTTTCATATTCTTTTCCTCTATCATTCTCCCCCCTGCCGCTCGCACAAACTTCCATCTTTTTGCCCCAACAAAAGTCTAAATCCCATGAAACAAGGAAGGTATGTAAACACGTGATGTCTTGTGTTTATCCGTAAGAAGCTTGAAATAATCTTAAATGCTTGACCCCCCATCATCTTCTAATCACATGACTTTGTGAAGATGGGTTGTTGTGCATTTTTAACCCGTTGAAATCTGCAGAGTTCTGGTAACGCTTATTTGATTCTGTTCAGGAAAACTTGAAATGACAAAGCTGATCTTTCTAACATTGAATTCAAGAAATGTGCATTTTTGTGGCTTTGAAATCTCTTCAGATCTCACAGGGTTAACCCCGGATGTGGCCATAATCAGATGTTGATGTCGGGTAGCAACAATATCTGAGCTATCTGGATTTTGACAATGTTTTTCTTGCACCAAAAACACTAAAACTTGACGAGTGACTTGCATTTGGAAGATTTAGGTTTCCTTACAAGAAGGTGTGTGTTGCGAAAATGCGTTCAACCATTTTCTGTTGACGCAAACTTAAGATTTGCCCACTTCAATGCTTGCATGGTGGTGTGCTGTTACTTTTCAGCGCGGCTGGAGTTCTTTTGTCCGAAAATGAAATTATAGATGAAGTGAATGACCGAAATCCGAAACCTTTTGTACACCGTAATGCATTTTTAACGTGGGCAAATGTCAAAGTAACGCTTCTGTTAGTAAACGTATACAAATGACGTGTTCATTAGTACGGGTGGAGAGGAAAAAGAAAAACTAATTGAATGTGATTGTTGATTGTTCACTGAATGTTTCTAGTCAACGTGACCTTGTTATCAACCAAACTGACCAAAGTGCTAGGTGGCATCTTGAGGGCATTTGACTAGAAGCAGTTGTTCTCTGTTTCCATTCTACGTTTTATGTTCTTTGTGCGAATCCAGTTGAACTCGAGTGGAGTTAAATGTGCTTGTGCGGTTTTTAAAGGCCGTTGGCAGATAATGAAAAACTGCCCGTCAGGACACACAGAGTAGCCGAGAAGACGAGCCCCGAATTAGAAACTCCCCCGGCAGAAGAGAAAAGCAAAAAGCCTTCCAAGAAGTCAAAGAAAGAGAAAGAAAGAGACAAAAAGGATAAAGGAAAAAAGGTACGTGGTATCTTCATAATAATACTTCCATTTGATATTGCCCCTTATCACGTCTTCGAGACATCTCAAAGCGTTTCACAGAATAGAACTGTATAGGGAATTGAGTGTATATTTTGTGGACGAAACGCAGCAGCCAATTGCACACAGCGGTATCTTACAAACAGTCATGGATTGAGTGACCAAATTATTATTTAAAACGTTTTTTTTAACATTTAAAACAACCGGGTTCCTACTTACTGCTAGGTAAACAGAGGCGTGTGAAGTAAGGAAATGTGCCCAACATTTTGCCCTGCTGGGAATCGAACCCGGGTCTCTCGCTCGCGAGGCGAGTGCTGTAACCACTGAGCTACCAGTCTTCATAAATCTTGAAGGATTTTAATGGTGACTGAGGAGAATGAAATAATTTGGTTTACGATCGCAATCAGTGCTGCACATGTGTGTGTTTTTTTTCCCCTGGCACAGAAAAGTAAAGAGAAAGTTAGTAAAAAACATAAGACGTCTTACGAGAATGCAGGTGATGCCCCCAAAGAAGACCATGTTATGCCTGTATCCAAAGAGGAAGAGAATGAAAAGGCTTCAACAGAGGTCAGTAAAGTGTCATGATGATGATAATAATCCTTGCATTTGATATCGCGCCTGATCACGTCTTCGAGATGTCTCAAAGCGCTTCACAGAATATATTGTAAAGCAAATTGACTGTATATTTTGTGGGCGAAACCGGCAGCCAAATGCGCACAAACGGTCGTGGATTGAGTGACCTTTTTTAATGATATTGGAAACAAATAGTCCTCCAAACAGTCTATTCAGGGGCAAATGTTGGGTAATTTGTAAAGGGGGTACACGATTGTGCGATTTAAAGGTTTGCATTTTTATTTCTGCTTTGTGAACTATATCCTCTTCAAAGCTATAATCGTTTCTTTCCCATCAAGGCGTCTGATCTGGACTTCTGGCTTTCTAAAGCTCCTACACAAAGCCAATCGCAGGTGAGTACACTGGCAGCCTGATCACACGATTTCCACCTGCCCCACATCACGTTTGCCGGCTAGTAGACGATTAAAGGGATGCTTTTGCGCGAATTCGTGACTAAAATGTTTCACATTTTTGTGCAGACAGAGCCAGTTGTAAATGAAACGGTTTCTGAACCAGAAGAGAGAAAAGCAAAAGAACAAGAAGATAAGGAAGAAGATGCGGTAAGTACCAATTTGCAGAGGCTTTGGCGGCTTCACCACTTGGTGTCTGAAGCAGTTCCATGTGAAAAATTAAAAGTAGGGCTGTGTTGTTAGAATGTGATATCTCTGATCCCAAAATACATTATAGCAAGTCTTAAATTAAAAGGCTCCGGGTCCTTTATTCAGGATTGCCGTTGATGTCACGTCCTGTGTATATAATAATAATAATAATAATAATAATCCTTGCATTTGATATAGCGCTTTTCACGTCGAGAGGACGTCCCAAAGCGCTTCACAGAATAGACTGTAAAGTGAATTGACTGTATATTTGTGGGCGAACGCGGCAGCCAATTGCGCACAGCAATGTCCCACAAACAGTCGTAGATTGAAAATGACCAATTTATTATTGTTTTATTTTGGAGGGATTATTATTACCCAAACTGTCACATGTATCAATGCTGTGCAGGATATACTGAAATCATTTCCTGCGCTACGTGCTAGAAGTGCGCTGATATCAGTTTCTTTGCGACTCTACCTCAGCGGCACGTCCTGTGCACACGAGCAGGCAGGAAGCAATGGTAGTGATCAACTGGCATTGGATGTTTTTTAATGTCAGGATCTGGGAGTACCGAGCTTCCAGTATAGTACAGGTCTACTCTGGACCTATATTATAAGCAAACCTGCACTCAGCTGGGGTGCATTCTAACTAGGTCACTCTACCTCCGAATGTAATAGAGCTGAGAGTAACTTGGCAATGAGAATTTGTTATTGCTATTAATTCAAATTGTTGAGCCCTTTGTGCGTCACTTACACCAATGGTGTATTTTCAAGGAGCAAAACAGGGTTTATTTTTCCACCTGTGAAATCACTCTTAGGTGTTGGAAAGGCCTTTGCGTGTGCGGAGCTAATCTCTGCTAAAGGCCAGTTCATATTCTTGACGATCTCTTTAATTAATGTTAAGAAGCTTTAGGGCACTACATTTTTATATCTGAAACTTAAAAGCCTCTATCTCTTGAGGTATGAACCCATTTTAATAATGCAACTCATTTTAGATTGCGTTTAATTCAGCAATCCGTCTCTTAGAATCGAATCATACGAACATGATTCCCCCCAAATATACGATGCACATTGACATTGAATGCCCCCTTCAGTAGTTACGTCAGATTTTCCTATTTGCAGTAATAATGATCTTTGGTTTGATACAGCGCCTTAACACATCTTCGAGACGTCTCAAAGCGCTTCACAGAATATACTGTAAAGTGAATTGACTGCGTTTTGTGGGAGAAAAGCAGGCGCCAAATAATAAGCCTCCTTTCCTGTACCCACTGCTGCTTTAGAAATCCTCAAAGCATAAGAAGAAAAAGCACAAGAAGGATAAGTCAAAAGAAGAAAAGAAATCGAAGAAAAAGAAACACCACAGTGGCGGAGAGACCGAGGAATCTGTACCGAACGGTAACCTGGATGATGAGCCCCTGCCGGTACAGTGCTAATTTATACTTTAGCAGCTCTCGCAGGTGTAGCAGCAGAAGTAGATTGGGTGAAACTGTTTCCTCTGGCGGATGGGTCGGTAATCAGGGGACACCAATTTAAGGCAATTGGCAAAAGAACCAGAGGGGAGAAGCATTTTTTTTTTAACCCAGAGAGTTGTTACGGTCTGCAACCCACAGCCTGAAAGGGTGGTGGAAGCAGATTCGATAGTAGGTTTCAAAAAGGGAATTGCATAGGTACTTAAAAAGGAAAAAATTGTATGGCTATAGGGTAAGAGCGGGGGAGTGGGACTAGTTGGATAGCTCTTTCACTGAAGTGAAATGCCTACAAATACATGGTCACTCTTTCACTGTGACTATGTATTTGTAGGCAAATGCAATACAATTTACAAATACAGTAAGCACCAATGAAGCATTTGACACTCGCTCGTTGATTTATTTGCACTTCATTTCTACCGATGTTTAAAGTGAGACAAATCATCAATTAAAAATTCCTACACCAATTCTGTGTTCCATATTTGACCGCTTCTTTTTTGTTCATTTTGCAGCCAATGTCCAACTACTATCTTCTTGCAGAAAATTCTTTCATTAAAATGGTGAGCAGCAATAATAATTAATTGTCAATCATGCAACATTTCTGAGTTATGTGAATATTTTGAGATTGATAGGTACTTAACCGTAATGTACTTCAATTTTTTAAAATAAAACATTCCCTATTTATTAGACGTATGATGTCCAAGGAAACCTTCAGGATGGAAGTCAAGTGATCGTATCAATTATTTTTGAAAACCAAAGCAGTGGCTATCTCAAATCAATGGAGTTTAATGTTTTGGACTCGCTCAACACTAAACTGGTCCGACCAGAAGGTTCCTCTGCACACGATGGTGTACTGGTTCCCTTTCAGCTCCCACCAGGTAAGAGTCTTGACTTCTTGAGAAAATATTGGATGTGTAGAATCGTTCCTTCAAGGATTTGCGGTAAAACTTAAGTAGAACAGTTTTCTTTATATATATATATATACACACACACACACAAAAGTTTCCTTTGAAATAAAATTGAAGCTTCACCTCATGCATCAATGTAATCAGATATTTTATGAGTGATTGAGTTACACATAATCATCCACTTGTTGAGCAATATTTATGCAACATTTTTATAGTTTTACATTAGCTGTTGAATTCTCGCTAACAATTTTTGTAGACCTAACCTGTTGAATTTCCCTTTCTTTTTGCAGAGGTTTCAAATGAAGCTCGGTTTGTCTTTGCTGTCGAGAGCATCATCATGCCTCAGAAACTGAAAGGAACACTGACGTTTATAGTAAAAGTAAGTTCAGAGGGGGTGGGGGAAAGTTTGTTTGAAACTTGCCTAGAATAACATGGAAATTACATCATGAAATGGGGCATTTGGACCAATTAATCCATGCCAGTGTTTATACTCCATACGAGCCTCGACCTCTCCTAATTCCCTCTTGTACTCTCCACTCAGTTTCCCTCTTGTATGACATTTTTCTGTTCAATTCCAATGAGTTCATTTATTCCGATTCTTTCCAGACAGAAGATGGATCTTCTCACGAAAAGCTTGACTTCAAGCTGCACTTCACTTGCACTTCATACATGATCACCACACCTTGTTACAGGTTTGTGTCAAACTCTTCTACCTGTAAACGTGTGTAGCTGTTTTGAAGTGCAGTCTGGCTGAACTCAGCTAATTCAGCAAAGTGAGTGCTTCAGTTTCACACAGGACAGTGGCTTCATGTATTTTTCCTAGTCGCGCAAACCTAAAGCGGCCGTTTTTTCCCACTTCATTTTTGATAATCGCTTTATTGTCATTAAGCTTCTCCTGTGGTTTTGGAACTGAAGTAGTTTTGGTGTTTTGAATGGGCTATTTCTTGTAATGTCTTTATTTTGTGCGCTGGATTAGACACGACTTGTTGTAAATCATTCCAATTGTTTTTTTTCTCTCTCTTAAAGTGACGCGTTTGCTAAACTGCTAGAATCCGGTGAGCTGAAGATGAGTTCAATAAAAGTGGACGGCTTAACCGTTTCCTTCCAGCTCCTTCTGGCAAAGATTTGCTTTCATCACCATTTCTCAGGTAATCTGCGCTCTTCCACTCTGCTGCTTAGTTCGTGCTTGGTGTGGGGGCTGTGGTGAGTGTGTGTGAGTGAGTGTGTGTGTGGCTAACTTTGTACTTCCTGCTGCTCAGCACATGTAACAGTGCAACAGTGCAGATGTAGAGTTAACAGAGGTTCCTCTTGTAAGATTGCAGCCAACACACTGGTGGAAATCTGTCCCACTCATGCTAACTCACTGAAAACCAGCCCTGAGACACCAGTCCACTTTTATTGAACTCATCATCTCAAATAGTATATTGACTGCAGTGCAAATGGAGCAGGAAATTGAACAGCAATTATCCAGGAATATAACTGTTAGCTTAGTGGGTAAAGCACATGTGATTAAGTGGCAGTATATTTCATTGGAGCTTGATGTTAAAAAGATTTACCCTTAAGGCTCTTATTGTTTTGTTAGTGAAACAATGGCCTATCATTCAAGGCTTTGGGTACTTTGGGTACTGATTTCCTCCATGAGAGCCAGCTAGACTTCAGATTATTTTACAGTGACGTATGACTCTTAAAGGTTAGATGTGATATTACAATTCATGTGGGATGTTCACTTCCATCTGGAGTGGTTTGTGTTACACATGTTTTCAGTTTCAACTTCTGGAGATGGGAATATTCTTTTGAGAACTGGGAATTTGAGGTGCCACAGAAAAGTGAAATAAGATTGTAAGAAGCACTCTCGGACATGATATAAATGCATGTTGTTGTTGTTGTTATAAGAAGCTTTGAACTCGAAACCTAAAGGAGATTTAATTATCTCCATCTTGTGACTTCTCTCTCTCTCTCCCCCCTCCCCAGTTGTGGAGCGAATCGACTCCTGTGCATCAATGTATAGCCGTTCTATCCAAGGTCATCATATGTGTCTTCTGGTGAAAATGGTGAGTTCTTCTACCTCAATGTCCATTTCAGAAATCCTGAAAACTCAGAAAACTTTACAGTAGAAAGTAGCTAAAGGTCTTGAGTTTGCACCAAGCTTTGGTGTGGAGTGTGTGTGTAACTACCCAGCTGAGCGTCCTGGCTGATCCAGAGTCGAGACTTAAGCGCTCCGAGACGCCGTCTGGCATGAAGAGCGCTATATAAATGTAAGTTGTTGTTGTTTACCAATTGAACCAAACTGACTTAAGCACCTGCTCTACCAAAGAGTGGGTCCCAGGGATTCAAGGATGTTGATTTTCAACATTTCAGAGTAAAAGCTGTTTGAGGACCAGCCCAAAAATAGTTGCCTTTTTTATTTACTTTTTTAAAAAATGCAGTGAATTATATTTAAATCCATTTTGAGACGAAATAGTGAATATGAAAGAAAACTTTCCTTGCACTTTCTGGATATTAAAATTTTCAAGACTAAGGTGGAGAGATTTTTTTTTATTAGGTCAGAGTATCAAGGGATAATGGGACAAAGGCGGATCTAATAGAATGGTGGAACAGGCTCGAGGAGGCTGAATGTCCTGCTCCTATGTCCCCATTTGTTCTCTGAAGTAATGACTTTTGTTTTGCTTTCGCCAGGGTGACTGCTCAGTGTCTGTGGATGGCAAATGCAGTGATGCTACCCTTCTGGGAAATCTACTTGATGAACTGAAGCAGACGTTGACTGAAAAGTGCTGAGGCCGTCTCAGAACCCGCAGTTGTAAATGGCACTAGAGCTCTGTGTTATGTTTTCCCCTGAAAGCATGAACTGCGTACACACAAAGGCATGTGCATTATTTATCTTCACAGTCGTTTGCAGTTAGAAACCCTGATTGCGTGTTAGGTTTTTTTTTCTCTCTCTCTCCTCTGATCTTGGCCTCTACTCTGCATTACTTTTCACCGATTCTGTCATTAATGCAGCTGTCTGTATTACGCTGGTAACAAAGAGCCCTGTGAGCGAGAGCATTTAACTATCCAGACTCCTAGGGTGTGCTGAACTGGTTTTGTGTGTTTCAAATGGTCCTGCATTCCTGAAGAGTTGAACTGTAGTGATGCTGTGCAAGCAGCCGTGAATCCAAAAGTAGTCCACCCGTTCGTGTCCGAGACTGATCATTTACTTTGAACACGTCTTAATTAATGTTTATTCCCTCCGAATCGTGGTGTTTGGGTTTTTGTTTTGTTTTGTTTTTTCAACGGGCCGAAGGGTCAGATTAGCATGTAGAATTCTCTTGTGGAATCCTGTGTGTTGATTCTAGATTTTTGGACAATGTGTTATAAAATAATTTACTATCAACATTCCCTCTCTCTCTCTCTCTCTCACAAAAAAAAACATGACAAGCTGCTGTATCTTTTGTGTCGAGATAAATCAATAAAATTGTAAAACTTGAAATGACTCCCAATTCGAGTGTGCTGCCTTGTTGGCTTTCTCACCAGCGTTCTCTTCTCTTCTCTTCCCCCCCACCCACCCCCTTCTCAAACAACACACACAATATATACACACACAGCTCATGTGTTTACCCCGCTGGCTGCGTTGGTTATAACTTAAAAGTGTTGCCACACTTGCCTGCTTATTGGAGTTCAGCACCTTGGGACGTCCTGATGTGAAAGGCGCTATACAAGTGTAATTAGTTGCTGTTGGGGTGAAGAGGGAAAGCTTCTGATATTGATTTTTATGGAATGTGAATGTGTTTAAACACAGCCGCCCGCGCACACATTCTCATTTTATGCATTCGTTCTTCTGTAATGATCCTTGCATTTAGTTGAGTGCCTTTCACGTCGGTAAGACATCCCAAAGCGCTTCACAGAATATATTGTAAAGTGCAGTGACTGTGCGTGCGGTGGGCAAATCCCTCTGCCCCCAAGTCGAGGTTTATTATGCTGGAAAGGACCGATGTTGTGCAGATCTCGCTCAGCCTGTGTTATTCATTTAACTGGCCACTGAGAGGTGAACAAGAGTTGTCTGCGATGACTGTTCTGTTGCACCCCTCACTCACTCTCTTTTTCTCTCCCCCTTCCCTCAACCTAAACCCACCCACAAAGGCTTACAGTGCAGCTGCAGGAGGATTATGGACACAAGTAGGAGATTATCATTTTCCTCATTCAGGGCAGCCTGTACTTTTCTCCAGCCTTTGTTAAAATCTTGAACGCCTGCCTGTAAATTAAGAGCAGGCAAACTAACCTAGAAGCTGCAATTAAACTACGAGGTCCTCTAGTCTCGTCAGTTGCGCAGGTTGAACAGTGTCACACCACATCTACCAGCGAGTTTCTAAACCACTGTAACACTCAGTAATGTTTTGGATACACAGGTAAGAAATAATTGATGGGGAGATTTCTAGCATTCAAGTGCTGTGAATAAATGAGAACTGAGTTGCACTTGTCCTACTGTGACTTTAGATCACATTATTATAATAATAATCCTTGCATTTTATATAGCGCCCTATCACGACTTCAAAACGTCTCAAAGCGCTTCACGGAATATATTGCAAAGTGAATCAACTATTTTGTAGGTGAAATATATTGAAACCTCTGGGTCCAGCGTGAGAGTGTGTATAGCAAATCTATGCTGTAAATTAAGAACAGGCAAACTCAACTAGAAGCTGCAACCTCCTGTGATCTTTTTATTTTAAATGCAAATGCACAATACTCCTTAAGGACCACAGCACTTTAATTTTTAGTGACCAATCCCTTCACATCGAGAAGACGTCTCAAAGCATTTCACAGGAATTACTGTAAAGTGTAGTGACGTATTTTGTAGGCGAATCTTCTAATCTTGCCTCAAACCCCACGATAACCTTCAGTTTCTCAAACAAAATTAACCGCTACCACCCGACTTAATGGAACAGGCAGCAGATAACATCACCAGAGGCAGTTTACCAATGCATCTTGATTTCCTGCCAGAGACCTTCATGACATCTGACCTTCACTGAGAGCTGCATTTCCAATTGCATCGATGTCTTGGCTGGTCATCAGTCACTCAAATGTTACATTGCTCATATCTTGCACCCGACAAGCCTCGCATGTGAAAGCTTTGATATGAAAAGTGGATCAATTACTGGATATTCTTAAAATGCTTTTGAATTTTCCTTTCAGACAGATGGTACAGTGTTCCTAATAAACAGCAAAACCCATCTGGTTAAAAGCTGCCAAGTAATACTATAAGAATATGAAGTCCAGTTACACTGTATTACGCTATCCTTTTGAATCCCACAGATTCCTAAAATAATCTTCATTCTAACCGTGTTTACCTCACAAGTGCTTCTGTGTGTTCTGTGTCCTGGGATTTACGTGTGTTCGGTTGTTGCCCTGAACTGTCACCCACAATGTTTAAATATTGTAAAATCCAGGTTTTTCAGTATTTTTCACCCAAAGAGTCGTTGAAATCTGGGACTCTCTGCCACAAAAGGCTGTGGATGCTGGATCCATTCACATCTTCAAGACTGAGGTGGATAAATATTTGTTAGGTCAGGGTATTAAGAGATATGGGGCAAAGGCGAGTAATTGGAGTTGAGGTACAGATCAGCCATGATCTTGTAGAGGGGCTGAATATCAAATGCAAATATTATTAATATTACTTTACTGATAAAAGTGTACTTTCGTTTTAGAATTTGTATGAACTTTTACGTTGCCTGTTCAAAGTTTGCATTTTAACTAAAAAATGGTGAAATTAAGTAACGCAGTGACACAATATCTAACGTAGGATTTCTATATGATTCTTACCGGTTATGTTTCCGAAAGAGAAACAAAACTATTGATTACGCGGCCCGCAGACATGACTCAAATAGGACATCTGGCCCTCGGCAGCCAAAATATTAAAACTGTCATTTTACAGAATAAAAACAGGAATGAAAAGGGAACAGTCTTAAATTCTGCCACAGGAGAAGTGAAAGCGGGCAGATACATTTATAGGACTTGAATTCATCAGCAGACGGAAAGCCACAGCTATTGAGTTAACTCTGTATTTGATCGTTGCCAACAGAAAACGGTAAGCATCAGAGCTTTCATTGCGGAGATACACAAATAACTCCCAGCACTAGGTTTGAGTGGTTCAGTGAGGGCTTACACCCCTTGGACTAAGTTCTTTCCTGGTTAAAGTCAACTTGGGTGAAATATTATTATTATTATAAATACAGGCGGGATTGATCTTGTGGTGTACTGCAGATGTAGGCTGCCTTTATTGGGAAGGTGTCAAACCAGGAAAATATTTTAACAGGTGTCTGTCCTCCCAATGTGAAAGGTGCTACACCACAATGCAAAGATTATTATTATTATTATAACACCACAAATAAAGGTGGCTCCCGAACAAAAAAATGATAATTTTGTATTGAATTAAATATTCAAATACTCACCCAAGATCTCTATTTGTTGGAGTCGGTCGGATGATCTAAGCCCATCATCAGTGTATCCAAACCAGACTAAGACGTGCCACATATGTATGAGTTTATGTGACATCCTAAGCTTCAGGGGAAAAAAACCACCGGTTTTGAGTTCATCAGTTTCCACAAGACGTTGGACTGAAGCCAGGGGGCTTGAAGCCCTCATATCGAAACTGGACGGTAACTGGATTTGACGATTGCAATTTCCTGTTTTTTTTAAGTATAAAACAAAAGGAATCGGTGAGTTAAAGAGGACAAAACCCTTTCGGTTATTGGCTCAGAATCATCGTCATTGATATTTGCATATTGTTTTTTTCATCCTCAACTACTGGTGCCACCAGCGTGAGATGTGGTTTCACAGACACAGCCACACGTACATACGCACAATCTAAAGCAAACTACGGGACCCTGACTGAGTCTTCGATCTAAAGGAGACGGTGCGAACATTTCCTTTGAAGCTTCTGGATTGTTTTGAAAGCGCGTTGGAAGCTCTGCTTTAGGAGGCAGCCCAACACCCTGACCATAATTTAGGATGAGGGGACAATGTGGTGGATCGATGAAGATGCCTTTTGTGATGGTATTTTTATTAACCGCTTGGTGGATGTGCACAATACAAGGTGAAAACTGAATTTTTTTTCTCTTTTTATTTCGCGTTTGATGAACTTAGCGGCCTTTGTTTCCTAGATACTCGGCAGAGTATATCGTAAAGCGGATTGACCGTGTATTTTGGGGGCGAAACGCGGCAGCCAATTGCACACAGCAGTGTCCCCACAAGCCGTGGTGGATTGAGTGAGCCCAATTTTTTTTTTTTTACGGATTATTTATCGCGATCAAGTTTTCCTCTGAGCGATCACACGATAAACAGCATTTACTGTATTTAGCTACGCACCCATATCATTTATACAACAACATTTGTACAGCGCCTTTCACGTCGGGAGGACGTCCCATGGGCCTGGACAGAGTACAGCATTTCAGACCCGAGCTGGGGTCAGGGGGGAGAAGGGAGGGGAAGGGGGGTGGCCGATGGCATGGTCGAAGAGGAGAGTCATGGCTTGAATGTGGGGGAGAAAAGACAGTTGAGGGTCGAACAAGACACCCAGGTTCCTGACTGGCTGGTGAGTTGAAGTGTGGAGGTCCTCAGTCTTGTTCACATTCAACTGTAGGAAATTTGCCCTCGTCCAGGACTTGATGTCCGACAGACAGTCTGTCAGGACAGCAGTGGTCCTGGAGTTCAGGGTGGGGGCAGAAAGATAGAGTTGGGTGTCATCCGCATACATGTGGAAGTTGACCACATGTCTGCGGATGATGCCACCAAGCGGGAGCATGTAGACATTAAAGAGGAGAGCCTGCAACAGCCTGCTAGTAATGAAAATACATCGCAACTTGCTTTCACGCCATCGATTAAGATTTCACAATACCTCTAACCCGCAGTAAAGTACAGTATGGCTTTCTTTTTAATTGTGTTGCAGGTGCGAATGCGAAACGATGTGCAATAAAGGTCTTGCATCTAACACCCAGGGTCTATGCCATGGCGGGGAAGGAACTCTCTCTCCTGTGCAAGGCTAAGTTCTGCACCGCGAATTTCACTGACCTGGAGATAACCTGGTGTAAGTGGACCTCGAAGGCTTGCACCGCACTGAGCCAGTTGGACGAATTTGTCAATCATACCACGGACTCCTCTCACTCGGAGCCCAGCGCCGTGACTTCTCTCCTCCGCATTTCTCCGGCTGGCCCCGAGCACAGCGGGATTTACCAGTGCCAGGCGCGGCTGCCCAGCTACAGCCGAGCCACATCGATGGGCCACAGGATCAGCGCGTTAGTGACCGGTAAGGTGCCGAAGCCGTTCTAGGTTAACGGGACCCCACCTCGCGATACGTTTCGGACCACGCTATCGCCACACGGTGGCAATCGCTGGCCATCGTGTGGTCGGCCGGGCGTCTGACACGCGCGGAAACCCATCGCCGTGGCTTAAAGAGTCTCCGAACCAAACCAAGAATTCCAGGCCTCCCACCCACACCTGGAAATCCCAGAGATAGATTGCTGGAATAGAATCCGCTCCCTCTCTCTCCCTCTCCCCCTGGAGGGTCTCCTCCTGCTTTACCCCATGAATAACTTATCGTCCGTGCGGAGATCAATCAAAAAAACATAAGCCTCTACCTTTCAACCCTAAGAGCTCGAGGTGACGGTTCCTGGCTCCACTGTGAGCGGCTTAAAGGGCAGTTCCCTGGAGCTCCACTGCACAGTGAGGATTGACGTGCGTTTGAACAACACGCTCAGGGTGTTTTGGACCAAGGGGAATGAGACCTGCAACCCCTCGGCAACGAGAAGCAGAGGGGAGATCAGCAACCAGACGCTGTCAGCCACCGGATCAAAATTCGTTCTGACTCTTTTCAACCTCCGAGACGAAGATTCGGGAGTTTACTATTGCTGTGTGTTTTCACATCTATCGCCACAAATAACAGCGACAGGATTTATCAACGTGAGGGTTGACGGTGAGTGCCACTGCGTTCATTTTTCCGGGTATACTTAATTAATTAATTATGTAGACAGGTATTTCCCTCTTATTTTACATACACAATATAGTTTTCTTGAATTTATTTCGCCCACAAAATATACAGTAGATTCACTTCACAGTGTATTCTGTGAAGCGCTCTGGGACGTCTCGAAGACGTGATAAGGCGCTACATCAAATCAAACACAAGGAATATTATTATTATTATACAGTGTCTGTTGGCTCTATTGACTCAATCCACCTTGTGTCAATGCACTTTGGATTAGACCTGCAATCCTTTGCAGGAGACATTAAACCAAGACCCCCCCCCCCCCCGTCTGTCTGTTTAGTTTGGATGTTAAAAAGTTCACTATTAAAAAAAATTAAAGGGGGTTTCTCCCCAGTGTCCTGGCCAGCAATCTCCCCCCCCAACTGAACCCCCCCCCCCCACAAATAATGGCTCAGTGTTGGAAGGGAACTGCTGTGTGCAAATCGGCTTCTGCTTTTACTTACAAACTATGCGGTCACAGCAGCTGGGGAGAAATCCCGTCTGGGTCTAGATTTGCTCTATTTACTTTGCGTTTCAGAATGTCCAGATATATATTAATAATAATAGTAATCCTTGCATTTGTTGTAGCTCCTTATCACATCTTCAAGAAGTCTCAAACGCCTCACAGAATATTAAGGTGATATAGTATTCTACTATAATTGATATATATATATATATTAATATGTATTTGTGTGCGGGTATAATACACACAAAAGTCTTTGTTAATCGATGTCTTAAATGTTCTGACTGCGAATAGTGTAACGATAGATTTTGAAAGATTCACGGCAATCTTTCCACCCTTGCCTTATTTTGTGATTATTACTATTATTTCCTTTCTCTCCTTGGCCCCCCCCACCCCCCCGCAGGGAACCCGCTCATCCTTTATTTACTCCTCATTGTCAAAGCGGCTCTCTTCCTCATTTTGACGACTGCCTCTTACATTTGGGTTTGCAAACAGAAAAGGTAAGGTCTTCAAATGGGCGAAACGCGGCAGCCAATTGCGCACAGCAGTGTCCCACAAGCAGTCGTGGATTGAGTGACCCAATTATTATTATTTCTATCTATTACAGCTGTTTAAAGCTGTTCATTTTTAACTGCACTAAGACTCTACCCTGCGCTACATAAATACAAGTTGTGTTGTTAGCGTACGGCTAACAAATTGGCATTATTGTAATGCAAGGATTATTATTATTATTATATTGAGGGTGAAATAAAATGGTGGGGGGGTGGAGGAGGCTGAAAATTACAAATGCAAGGATTATTATGGTTGTCATCATTACAAACAAGTCCAATGTCAGGCTGTAGTTGGATTTCGTACACATTTAATGGAGAATATTCTAAAATAAAGTTCAAAATGGTTGCAGTTTGATTTTTTTTTAACCCACATTTTCTTCACCATTGGAACGTTATGTAAATTTGCCATTTGTATACGCAACGTGCTTCAAAAAGCGTCCAGTGAAATATTGATTTGATTGATTGTTTGATCGATTGATTGATGGGTTTTTGTTTGTTTGTTGATTAATTTCTTTTTCTTTTTTTATTTGTTGGGTTTAGACAATGACAAAAATCCCAAGATGCAGCGAAGGAAGGAGGAAGCAAATACATCAACGCATCTGTTGCACCTCTTTTACAATAATTATAATGACGTTCCACATGTTTACGGGGCTGTGTTGTGCTACTTGAAAATAAATACATTTGAAATAGGACCTGGATTTGCAACGACTCTCAGAAAAATCTGAACAACAAGAATCCTAACATTCAGTACAGCGCATTTCCTGTAGGGAGAACGTCTCAAAGCGCTTTCGCAGCTGTACTGTAAGGAGCAATAACTGTGCATTTTTGTGGGCGAATGTGGCAGCTCATTGGCGCACAGCAACGTCCCACAAACAGCCATGAAAGTCAATGATCTCTGGAAGCGAGAGGGAGAAAGTTAAAGATGATAGTAATAATCACCCTCACATTTGGTATAGCTCCTTAACACGTCATGTGAGACGTCTCAAAGCGCTCCACGGAATATACTGTAAAGTGAACTGATCTTAAACGTGGTTAAAAGAGGTAGGTCTTGAGTCGGAACTTGAACGAGGGGAAGGGAGGGAGTCGAAGAGACTCCGAGTCGGAGTTAAGGCGTGCAGGGGCAGAAAAGCTGAAAGCTTTGCCCCGTTGGCGGTGGGGCGGGTAAGGGCAGGTGAGGTGAAACAGGACGATGGGTTGAATCTAAGCGCACTGAGTCGCTACCCTGCCTGGGAGGTGGTGGGGGTGGGGGGCGCTACCTAAGTGCAAGTTGTTGAATAAGACAAGATGCCATAATCGGTGGGTTACATTTAGGAAGCTCTTTACTGGCCCTTACATCGGCTTTTGAAGCTTACAGGAAAAGAAGCGCGATGGCGTGGAGAGATAATACCTTTCATGGCTGATTAAGGACGGGCAAACAATGGAAACTGGTAAATAGGTCACCCACTTAGGAACTATTCCAACGATGCGAAAGAAATATAAGAGCGTTGAGCGTGTGATACCAGGTGGGCGTTTTATATCTCACCAAACCTCAATATCCGGTCACAAAGCAATGACCAGTAAACAACACCGCCCACACAAAGAGCATTGTGGTCACTAATGTATCACACAACATATTAATAAATCCTTCCATGAGATACAGTGGGTTATCACATCACTGAGGCACCTCAAAACACTTCACTGGATCTCTAACTGAACAGCAGACAGGACCTCCGACCATGCTCCCCCAATGCCTATCGCCCCCACACTCCGCACCCCACCCCCCCCCAACCCATCCCACCCCATCCCCAGCACTGCACTGGAATGTCAACCTGGACAACCACATGGGAGCTTGAACCCACCACCTTCTGACTCACTGAGAGACAAGAGTGACACCGAGTGAGCCAGGCTGACACCAAAGCGAAGCTGAAGAAATAAGAGCCGCTGTAGATTGTTATTTATTTTTTATTTTGGTGTCGGACCTCAACGTCGTCCACTATAAATGGCATCTCTCATCGATCCGCCTCAAACAGAAACCTCTGCAGTTATTGGCGGTCGAGGCTCAAGCGATTGGCATGTTCCTTGGGAATCAAGTCACAGGCTCTCAAAGCTGGCGGATTGAGGTTGGATGAGAGGTGGCAGGGTTTGGGTATGATGGGCGCAGAGATTAGGACAAGCCTGGCGAGCGTGTAAGACACCCTGGCAATACGAGGGGTACAAAGCTGCGAGGAGGAGATCTGCGCTAACGTCCAGAAAGGAAGTGGGCATCCCGGGCTGGATCCGATAGCGGGGATCCCGGAGAAAAGTACTTGCTGAAGCGATGGGATATCGAACGTGCTTCTTCACACCCACATCCTGTTGCACAGTGTCACGCTCCCCCAGCCCAGGGCTGATTAACCTGCTCTCTGGGACCAAATCTGCAACACAAAGAACTCGCTTTGTTGAAAGGGAATTGGTTTCACAGCCGAAACTGGCTTTAATAACAATAATAATAATAATAATAATCCTTGTATTTGACCCAGCGCCTTATCACATCGTTGACACTTCTCAAAGCGCTGCGCAGAATATTCGGTAAAGTGAATTGACTGTGTTTTACAGGCGAAACGTGGCAGCCAATCGCCCACAGCAGCGTCCCCCGCAGACGGTCGTGGGATGAGCTCCTGTTTCATTAAGGAAATGAAATGCGCAGCAGCAGGAAGAGAGCGACCACTTTTATCCGAGGGATTTTTGGGCCAATGCAACGTGAGAAACTCCCTTCTGTTTTCAAGTAGTCAACCGTGGGATCTTGGGTCGAAACCCTCGACCGTCCAGGGCCTTGGGACATCCTCCCAACGTGAAAGACGCTGAACAAATACAATCTGTTGTTCTTGTTTTTTAAGCTCAGCAGCACCTCACCTGGACTAGCAGATAGCGCACACGCTGCTGGCTTCGCTCTGTTACGCGCAGCTCTTAACGCAGGTCGCGGGGGGATTTCTGCGGAGCCAACGGATCCCGTCGAGCGGGGCTCCCTCCCGCGGACGGAGAGTTCGCCTTCCCAGGGCTTCCCCCTGTTTCCCTCTCCGCGCTCCCCCTCTCTCTCGCGGCTTTCGTCCTCTTCAGCCCCGACTCTGTCTTTCCCCGCGCTTTGCTGCCCCTTGCGATGCTTGGCCCGTCTGTTCTTGAACCACACCTGGAGCAAACGAATGAATCAAACCAGTTTGCCTAAAATAATTACTCCATCCATCCCGGAGCTTCCAGGCTCATCTCAAGACCCTCCTCCACCTCCCCCTGTGCCTTCATTCCGACAATCTATCCCTGGAATTTCCGCGTGTAGGTGGGCGGGTGGGAAGCAAGGAATTCTCCGTTGGGTTTGGAGACACTCATGCGATGGTGATGGGTTTCCACGTGTGTCAGACACCCAACTGAACCAACACCCCCCACCACCTCCCCCCTCCCCCCCCCAAAAAAAAACCCTCTATTCTTCACTGTGTTAACCTCGAGCTGTTGTCTCTCCAAAAGGTACCTGAATTCTTGCCTCGGGCAGGCTGATGGTGGCTGCCAGTCGCTCTCTGGTCTCCCCGTCGGGGTAGTGTGTTTTCTGGAACGCTTTCTCCAGAGCCCGAAGCTGTGGGGACGTGAACGCTGTCCGGGTCCGTCTCTGTCGTTGGTGCTGGCTCCCGTACCTCACCTCCAGCAGGATCTCTTCCAAAGAGGCAAACGCTCTGGGTTAGTTCACAGTAACAACAACAATAACCCTTGCATTTGATATAGCGCCTTATCTCGTCGTTGAGACGTCTCAAAGCGCTTCACAGGATATACTGTAAAGTGCGCATTTTGTGGGTGAAACGCGGCAGCCGATTGCGCACAGCAGCGTTCCCACAAACAGCCGTGGATTGAAGTGACCAAATTGTTATTGGGTGTTTTTTTTCATGAGGGATTATTATCTGATGTATCGGATAACAATCCTTTGAGTGATATTCGGTGTCTACGGCGAGGGCGAGGCTTACCGGCTAATCGTTCTGCGACGGTGAGCGTGTGTGGTGACAGCGGCTGTTTCGCTGTCCGCGTTTGCTGCATCTGGTCGGACGCCGGCTGGTGGAAGTTCAACCCTGCAGCCATTGAACCCGTGTTGTGCAGACAGTAGCTGTTGCCTGTGTAATAACCTACGGTGTCCATCTTCCTTCGCTGGAACGAGAGGTTAGTCCCGTGTCCTGCCCCGGTCAACAAACCTGGAAGGAAAGGTAAAAAAAAACAACTAAAACCGCTTGTTAAGCATTTGGGTTAAAAACCCTCGTAAATCCCATCAAAACTGAGCGCAGTAAACTCCTGATAATTCGTCGCTCCTGTTTTTTGTGGGATGTCGCTGTGGGCACACACATTGCTCGCTTCGTTCCCCTACAAATACGACAGTCACTACACTACACAGCGAATCCCGGGAGGCGCTTTGAGACATCCGTCCAGCGTGAACAGCGAAGTAGCGCATGGAAGGGTCCTTATTGATTATTAATTATTCCGATGAAGTTATTATTCTGCGGGATAAGAATAGTAATCCTTGCATTGGATATAGCACCTTATCCACGTCTTCGAGACGTCTCGAAGCGCTTCGGAGGATATTGTTAGTTCAGGAGATGGTCGAACTGTGTTGCTCGACAGTTAGATTTAGCTGGCGAAGCTTCAGTCAATTCCACACAGTGACAGTAGATTGAATGGATGGGACCGACTGAAAAAGAAACCCTTTGGCGATTAAAGCAGCGTCCTCCGAGTTAATGTTTCCGCACAAGAATCCTGGTGAACAAAGGAGCTGAGCCTGATCCTCATTCTCGCATCAGTTTCCTCCAGACAAAAACTCCAGCTCTGCCACAGCACAGAGCTCTTTGTATCTCCGAGGTTACGAAGGGGATTGCGTAAAAAAAGAAAAAAAAATCTCGCGCCTAACAAAAGGCACGACTTGAGACACTTCATCTTTACTGCAAATCCTCTTAACGTTCAGGGTCAAGATGAGACTCGCCACAACGGTTGCGAACCGGGCTACGTTTCATCGCTGAACGGATTTCCCTCCTGTCCTGAGAAGCGCTGGGCTACTTTTCCTCCGACTCTGGCTTTTTGTTGGGAGGTTGGTCGATGCACAAAATTGGCCGGTGTGTTGGCCTTCGAAATACAGTCGTACACTTCGCAGTGAAATCCTGTGAAGCTCTTTGAGATTCAAATGCGAGGATTAATATTATTATTATATTGTTATTGCAGTTTAAATCATTTTGTGTAAGTAATTTCTTCTTGGTTTTCGGTGACGGGTCAGCTAGACCTAAAACTTTACATATGAATGGATGTTATTCCTCTTAATGTATATGTGAACTTCCTAAATAGGTACTTTTTGCAGGAGGCTGATATCTCATTCTCCAGCTCAAGCCACTTTTGAATAGTCTTATGAACAGCTGCAGTTGCATCGACGATTATAGGACTGTGCAAGACGGATTCTCAACAGATTTGCAATGCAATACAACGAGATTTGCTCACCTACCTGCCTTACACCAAGTCGTTTTATTTCGTTTTCAGCAGAAACCAAGAGCAGAGAACGAACGCCTCTCCTCCGGCGAGACCTCGGACAACAAATTCGTTCTCTGGAAGCACTTTTATACCTTTACCCTCTCGGTCACATTCACGCTCACGACAAAGCTTCCTTTCTGACCATCGCCATCCAATAGAAAGAAGGATTTGAGTCCGGATCTAAGAAGTTAACACAAAGCGTTGACCATTTTGTGAACCTATCACTTTGTGGAACTGACTGAAGCTTTGCCAGCTAAATCCAACCCATTGATTTCTACTCAACATCTAATCTGGGATTAATGTCGAGGTTCCTTGCTCCACCCCACGCCCACCCCACCCCCCCACCCCCCCCACCCCACCCCGCCAGAGTGTTTGCCGCTTCTGGGCATCAGGAACCAAATAAAACCCACAAAAGGGAAAGAAACCCAGGGTTTGTGGTGCGATGTCTGTCTCTCCCACACTTTTTTTTAACGGTTTTATCTCATTGGTTCAAAAGTTAGTCCGAAAGTGTATTAAACCAGAAAAACGTATAACTTTTTTTTTTAGAAGCGAGTGTTTTGATCGCTTAAACTCAACTCGTTAAAAACAGGTGTGGTCTACCAAAGTTTGAAATGCTTCAATAATGCAGTATTTAAATTCCTTTTTCACAATCCGTGACGGTTTGTGGGACACTGCTGTGCATAATTGGCTGCTGGCACAAAATAAAATCAGTTCACTTGACAGTGTATGCTGTGAAGCGCTTTGAGACGTCTCCAAGACGTGATAAGGTGCTATATCGAATGCAATATCGAATATAATATTATATATTATATATTTTCTGAGCAGCAAGGTTTCTCAAACAAATGTATCCAGCCCTAAAGTTTAACAAGTGAGAAAATGGAAAGTGTGTGAACAGGTGGAGAAATCGCAGGAAATCACTACTGTATACATTTGTTTGTCGGAAATTCTAAGTATTTTTTAAGTTCATGTTGTAAGAAACTAATGTTTTAATGTATAACGTTGAACAATTCAATATTAATTAATCCACACATTTTCTGCCTAATCAGTGCACTATGTAGAATACAGAGTTGTTGTTTATAATAAAAATAATACAGTAATAATAATAATCCTTGCATTTGATATATCGCCTTATCACATCGTCGAGACATCTCTCAAAGCGTTTCACAGAATATATTTTATTTGATATTTATTTGATTTGACATATACTGTATTTTTTTTACACACCAACACCGAGTTTGGCATCGAATCACAAAACATTTTATTCAGCTCAATTATCTAACAAATGGAACTATGGGTGGCAAATGAATTTAGCTGCAGACTATTTCTCTGTCTCTCTGTCTCTCTCTCTCTCTCTCTCGCTAAATGCCTCTTTAATGTTCGTGGGAACTCCTGGACTGTCAAAAGTACACTGCCTTTTTCTGGATGCTACTTATTCTCATATCCACCATCGCTGGAAACTGCCCCGGAGAGACTTCAAACGCAGAGTGTCTCTTAGAGAGAGAAAGAAAGAAAGAAAGCGAAGTAGGTTTAACGGTGTGTCAAGCTTCCTTGGTCTGATGATGTTCAGGATACAGAAGGAAATTGTAGAATTTACTGTTACATACTCTGTTTAAGAGTGATTGGGAGCAAATTATAACACTCATGGACTGGATTTGTGGCTGACTGGAAAAGCAAACTGCAAGGTTTTGTCTCATCAATTTCTCCCGCTCTCGGCTTTGTATAGATCTAAGCCTCGGCCAACACAGTTTTAGAGCAGCATTGAGGGATAAAAGTGTGATTAAACCTCAAATTTTCCAAGAGCAAATCTTTCCTAATCCCTCTGTGTGACCAAACAAAGCCCGATGCTCTAATCTGCTAAATGTAAATGGCTGGGAGATTTGGGTAAAGGGATGATCTAAACGACTTACTTTGTTGGAGGCTAATGCACTGTGACAGGTCTGGCAGTCAGTGTAACTAAACACAGTTATTGACCACGTCTACGGGGAAAGGTTTTTTTTTGGAAAAAAAAGAGCCCAGTTTATTCTATGGTGCACATTTAAGATGCAAAAGATATTTAAGTTTTTCAGCGAACCACTTGAAATCATGGTTTCTGGTTTTCAAGTATCAAGTCGTGTTTGTTGGCGACGGAAAGCTATCTGTGAGCAAAAAGAGGGTGAAATAAGGGGAAGTGGGGTTGAGTATAAGCTTTGTTATTACTCTACAAGGCAAAGGCTCTGGGATATAATAATAAAAATCCTTTGCATTTGATGTAGCGCCATATCACGCCTCTGATACGTCGTAAAGTGCTTCACAGAACGTACTGTAAAGTGAATTGATTGTATATTTTTTTGGGTGTAAAGAGGCGACGATTACAGAAAATGTAACCCATTCTGAAAAGCAACTTGCTTCGGCTAACTTGGTCAACGTGCTTAACTCTTTGTGTATGCGTCGGTTGGAGATTTCAATGCAAGATTGGGTGGAAACAAAAATGGCTGAAACAAGTTGATCCTCTGTGGTCCGGTTCCTGAGTCAGGCAAGTCCACCCGACTCCAAGCCGCTCTTGATGACTGACCAGCCAGCCCGGCCCGACAGGTAAATTTCCATGTGTCGTTGGCATATGTGCGTATGTGGGACTCGGTGTGGGTTTCTTTGTGTGTAAATAAAACATCGGCCCACAGTTTGGGAAGAAAATAGCTGAGTGAAATTGCCTTCGTTCCAAAAATTGAAAAAGTTATTTTTTTTTCCTCCTCCAAATTAGACTCTTGGCGAAGACAGGCATTCCACATCAGTGAATCCCAGAGCTGATGCGATGCACTTTGCATCGATACAGCACCTCTCGCGCCAGGCGGCAGGCTCAAAGGCGCTTAAGCAGCGCGCTTTGTTAAAGCGATTGCTCTCAGCAATAGTTTATGAGAACAATTAACTTTGTAAGTTAAAGTGGGAGTCTACGTACAGTACGTAGGTGAAAATCTGAAAGCTCTGAGGCTTGTGTGAGCCTTGTCCTTCTCCCAACAGATGCTCGATCGAGCAATCTGTCCAGGGTCAATTTGACAACCGCCAATCAATACAGAAATTAACACTGCCACGGCATTGCCAATCAGTTAAGCATTTTAAGCGCTGGCTTTGCAGAACTCCATCGGTGATCAATAACGAGACAATGTGGCTTTTCAACTCTCAGGACGAGATGACCATACACCATGTGTTTCGCCGAAAAAGAATACAACAAAAAAGTTAAGGGACTTCTTGGATCGTCAAATCAATCTCTTCGGCACCTTATAACCCTAAAGGTCACAGGACATTGTATTGGAGGTCAGCAGATGAGGCTGTCCTCCAGAAACCGTGACAATCTGCACGGATCAGAGGCTCGCTAAATAAACTGGGCTTTAACTACCTAACAGGATTTGAAATACAAATTTACCGTAAAAGGTCGATTGATGAACTCAGGTTGCGGTCATAGTGAAACGGTCAATAAAAGTCTCGGGACAGCAGCCGGCTGCTTCACTAAGTAATAATCCTTGCTTTTGATATAGCGCCTTATCATGTCGTTGAGACGTCTCAAAAGCGCTTCACGGAATACACTGAAGTGGATTGACTATTTGTGGGCAAATCTATAAATGCATTCATTTTCAATTTCGATGATAGCGTTAACTTTTTATCCCCCCCCCCCCCCCCCACTCCCTCAAAAAAAGTGCAGCTTTATTCGGTTTTCTTGACTTTGGAGTAAGGTTTCCAGTTGGATCTGGCGAAGATGAACACTTGAAACTATTTTGAAATCCTTGCAGTCGGACGCTGACTTCAAGATAAATCCAAAACATTCACCATTCACCACAATTTACCGCCTGACAAATCAATACCTAAATAAAAGAATTCGACAGCTTTTACTGGTTTAGAATCCCGATTGAATGAATGCCAATATTTTTATTTTGGTACGGTGTTATCACGGGCAGGAGCTGCTTGCTGCGTTACCCATGGATTAATAAATCAGAATATTTTCAGCCTGGCTCAGTTGGTAGCACTCTCGTCTCAGTCAGAAGGTTCAAGTTCCCTGTTTAAGGCTGATACTCCAGTGTAATCTTGAGGGGACCACTTTTGGTTGAGACGTTAAACCGAGGTCACATCTGTCTTTTCAAGTGGATGTTTAGGAACCCAATACACTATTCGAAAAGAGAAGTGAGTTTCTCCTGGTGTCCCGGCCAACAGTCGAGTTGATCATTCTCATGTGTGTTCGTTGAGATACTTGTGTGGAAATTGGCTGCTGGATTCGCTTACAAAACATACAGTAACTACACTTAACAGTAATTACCATGAAGTGCTTCAACACAATGCGAATAAGGCGCTGTATCAAACGTAAGGAGTTATATTGACTGAGACAGGCCATGAAAGTAATAACATCTCAGGGTAAAAAAAACAGCATTTTGTGTTTTCTTTTAAAAAAAGTTTATTACAAAACTGGGAATGTAAATGACAACAGAAATATATAGTTATAATTTCTGCTCTTAATGTTTATTATACCCTACAGAAGTTTACGTTTTTTTTTGTCAATGTACTGTACAAGCTACGGATTTAACTTGCCAATTGTCTGTCCAAACTTAGCAAAATTGTTTTCAGAGACCAGTCTTAGCGAGGCTTAGCAACAAATCATTCCAATTACTGAAAGTCCTTCCAAACTCACTGCATCTCCCTTTGCCGATCATGAGCGCTAAGCATTAAACTGGCGGACAGAAGCAAAAACCGAACAAAATCTTGCGGGATTAGTCAGTCTTGAGTAGAACCTCAGTACTTTACCTCCAAAGTTAAATTAAAAATGGCAACGTGTCAAAATAAACTTTAATATTTACCTCAAATAACCACATTAAAAGGAGACTGAAGGGGGGCAGTATTTTCTGCAGCGTTTTAGAGGATGTTTTTAAACTCGGAATAACGCTTTGCAACTGCAGCATCTTAACTTTTCCTGCGGTGCATTGCAAACACACCATGCAGAATTTAAGTATTTACTTTACAAATCGCTCTTAGCCCAGTGGACGATCAAATTCAACAATCTTAAATAAAACTTTCTCCCCCCCACCCCCCCCCCACCCCCTCCTCCTCGCCATGGGAATCTCTGAACACTGTCACACAAGCTTACATCAGTTAATGTAGATCTACAAACACATACTCTTTCCTCATCTGGTTCTAACATCCATCCTGTATTAGGAAAATACACCTTCAGTTTGGGGGAGAGGTGGAGGGGGGGGGGGGAGGGTTCTACGAGGGGCTACTCGACTGCTGAAGGCTAGTTGACGAGGACAGGTCTCGTTCTCCCACCCTTTTGCTGCTCTCTTTCTCTCTCTCCTTTACAAAGGTGCTGCCTCAAGCTCAGTTCTCACAAGACTTAAAAGCACTGTCCATCATCCGTGTCACCGACAAGCCACGCTGTTCAGTGACGTGGATACCTGGTTTAGAGCAGACCAGTCTGAGAGACGCCTCGTTCGCTTTCAATCCTCAGCATTCACTCGTGAAGACTGCGTTCTCCAGATCTTTTCCTTTGGCTCGATTTGAACACGCAATTAAAAGGTGGTCTGTCACAGTTAAAAAAAAAAGGGGGGTGGAGGGGGGAAAACCTTTGAGCTGCTGATCAATACAATGACCACACATTCTGTTAAACGTTTACAGCACACAGAAAAAGGCCCATCTGTTGGGGGGTGGGGGGGGGGGGAATTCAACACATTGTAAGTGATCCGAATACAAGTTTGATGCAGGTCGATTAGTCAAATCACATTTTAAAAACAAAATCAAAAAAGCATTCACAAAAATGTCTAATACTTTACAGCGTGAATACAGCTCGTCAAACAATTTTTAAGTGTTGCATTTTCTGAATGAGGATTGATCCAACATTGGTTAAACAAGACTGGGGAGACAGAGTGAGAGAGAGGGAGAGAGGCAGAGGGAGATGGGTTGTGCAGGTCTGAGATAAAAGGTGCTGGACAATACGCAAGGATTACCATTAAGATTTCCTCAACTTCAGATGGTGGGCATTTATTATTACAGGGCAGTGTGTCTTCGCAGAACCACAGAGTCAAAGACGCAAAGATCCTACATCAATCAGGTGCCACACGTCTTTTAAGGCGGAGTCAGTCAGGGCAAGCGAGTATTCTAAACCAGAAAACGAACGCAACAGGTAAAGATGTGGAATCAGCCGCAGCCACGGACATCTTTAGGGTTCCAGAGGAAATGGGGTTCTAAACCTTTCGGGCTCCACATCCAAATCTCTGACTTTGTAACCTCGGCACATTTCAAGTCTGTCAATTTACATATGTACACAATATAAACATAGAAAAGGTAATATTCGCACAGTGTATTGAAAACAAATCTACCGCAAACTGGTAATATAATTATTCTGCAGGCCAGATGCTTGGTGCATGCGATTACGGAGGACAAACAGCGAGTAGAGTGGCAACATGGAAGCTTTTTGAAACCAGCTCGGACGCATCTATTATTCCGTGTATAAAAGTAGTGCTCAGTTTCAAAGACGTATTGAGAAACTTTTTTTTTATATAAAAAAAACCTACTACCTAAAATTGCCAAACATTCATTGTTAAATTGTCTTTTTACATTTATACTCATTTTCTTCTCTTTTTTTTTTTAAACAGTCCAATCCAACCACCTTCCTAAAAATATATTGGCATTTTACAAACAGTCCAAAAATCCCTGGGTCTCAAACAAAAAATGCAAGGGAGGATAGAGGACGTCTGTTGTGCAGGCTGCAGCTAAAAACGTGCATTTTACTCACACCGCTTGACTCTGTTCAGTGACGTTTCTCTTGTGCTCATTAAGTGCAACGCGAGGCCATCAGAATTAATGTAGCGGCTGAGCCCATGGCCAGCTCTTCCAGAACTCTTGAGATCAGTGCGGCACTGAGATGGAACAAAGCACTGAACTCAGTGATGGTGTGAACCGTGTGAGCGACAGACACGCCATGAAGCTGAGGGGCTGGTTTTGCTGGGGAGGTGGAAACGACGATCCCTGCGTGGACTTGCAACTGAGACTTTTGGCCCGTAGGAAACAGCACAACAGAAAGGCAAGCGGAAGTTAGACAGAAGCAACAACAGAGAAAGACGTTCAGCAGATTCCTGTCGTTTTTGCGAAGCAAAGGCAATACAGGTGTAGTGCATCCCCTTTAATGGGGGGTGCGCGGGCAGCAATGATGGGGGTGTGAGTGACATCTAAGTAACAACAACTCGTTAAATTTGCTACCCAACAAAAAAAAAGCTATTGTTGAGATCCGACAGCACTGGATATATTGGAGCATTCTAACAAATTTCGAAGCTCATGTTAACAAAGCCAATCGCTTTCGAACAGCTGGGCGAGTGAAGTTGAGCAGGTTATTCTAACGCGCACTGGATGAACACTGAACAAAACGATCGGACGTTTTAATCCCTTCTCTCCGGCAGCATCTTTCCGAGACCTTAAAAAGAACTGCATCGGATCCACTCTGTTTCGTTCACGGAGCCGGCACAAAGTTCAACGAGTGAAAATGGAAGAACAAGTAAGAAAAACTTTTTGTCCCCCCCCCCCCAAAAAAAGGAATCCCATCAATAAAATCCACATTAAAGGCTGCCGTACTTACATCAGTCAGATCAACTGCTCAGCACGTGAAACCACATTTGTTGGAATGAAGCTTTTAAACCTGTTCTTGGTCTTGGGCGATTGCTACTCCCAGATTATTAATATGGCAATACAGGACTAATATCAATGGGTGTTCTTTGAATATTACATTGGGTTGTGGACCTAGGAATTTATTATTATTTTTTTTACAAAAAGGGTCTCTAAAGGGTATAAAAACACAAATAAATACTGTAAACAAAAAGGAAAAGGTAGTTTTGTGTCATCTGCTTTTTTTTTCTCTCTCTCTCTTCTCTCCTCCAAAAGCAGAAAAGTTGCAATCGGTCCCGCGGAACTGTTACACATCCCAGTGTCTGGATTGGGGCACAGCTTGGCGGATCCTGCCGGGAAATGGCGAGTCCCTTTACGCACAGCGCAAGACAACGGGGAGGGGAGGAAGAAGGGTCATCTTCTCAGTTTTGCGTCTTCCTTTATCCTCCATATCATTAGCTCCATGCAGGACGCTGCATCTTCGCTGGAATCATGGCCTTCGACTGCAATTGACGCAAAAGAGTTCAAATCAGACGAGACCATAAATTCAACCCCAGGGATGAATTGTAATTCTACCGTATTGACACGATGTGTAATGAACGCACTTTCTATCGATCGCTTACCATTATCTTGGATGATGCGTTTGAGGTAGTCTGCCATTAAAGTTTTCAGTGCGCGTTTATAGGGTAACCCCAGTCGGTGTGGAAACACGATGGCTGTATCAATCACTGTGCTGTGTATAAGCTGCGGCGGAAGAGGCAAAAATATCATTGCTACCACATTCCTCCCGCACAGACGGCTGTTGCTGAATTGATTCCACAACTTCTCAATAGAGTTTTGCCCAATATTATTTACCTGATTGCACTTCCACTCATAATCCACAAAAGGCCTCTAAGAGTACAAGTTGTTTTAGAAGTCTATTCTAAGTTTTCCAGATTTTTTTGGTTGCGATTATCGATTGCTGCAACCGTCACAGTTAATTGAACTGTGGAATCCTGTAGCTCAGTGGTTAGAGCGCTCGCTTTCCAAGCAGAGAATAAGCAAGCGAGACACCCAGGTTCGATTCCCGGCAGGGTGAAACCTTGGGCAAGTTTCCTTACTCCACACATAATAATCCTTCAAAAAAAAAATTGGTCACTTCAATCCACGGCTGTTTGTGGGACGCTGCTGTGCGCAATTGGCTGCCACATTTCGCCCACAAATATACAGTCAATTCGCTTTACAGTCTATTCTGTGAAGCGCTTTGAGACGTCGAGAAGACGTGAAAAGCACTACATCGAATGCAAGAATTATTATTAATTGAACTTTTAACTTCAAACAGTTAAAAGTTTAACACTCCTGCTCAATTTTTTTCAAATCAATTCTATTTTAGAGAATGGAAAAATATGTACCTTTAGTGCAAATAAATCACTTTCCAAGCTGTGTCCAATTAAGATGGTGTCAGCACTGAACATGCTGAGTAATACTGCCTGCACATCACGGATAGTGTTAGTTGTACTCTCCAAATCCTCTTTGGTCACACCTGAAAACCTGCAAAGAGGAGAAAAATTAAACTCCACTCTCCAGCCAGTCCTCGCCAGTTGTCTCCCTGCGGATTGATTACAAAGTCCTCGCCCTCACTAACAGCCACTTGCATTTATATAGATAGCACCCTTCACATAGGGCGGCACCCCAAGGCTGTAAAGTACAGCTTTGGGGCAAAGATCTGGAGGCAGTTCTTTACACAGAGAATAAGCAACAGCAGAAACGTGGTTGAAGCCAAGTCACTAGGCTCATTTAGGAAACGATTTGCGAGCCCTAGTGACTCGGTTTCGAGCACACTTCTTCCGAGTTTCCCATTTCAGCTCATTGCTTGCCCACTGTGTAACGGGAAGATGTCAGAACTGGGGTTCCAGTAAGATGAGATCAAATCGATCCTAAGCTCTCTTTTGATCGGTTTTGCACAATTAGAGCCAATTAACAGATTAATTTCATCCGTTCATCTCAAGGATGAGTGGTTCTTATAGTCTGTAGTGTCGGAACTAAAGCTTCAATGAGTTTTTGCTACCACAAGTTGCCTCGTCCTCCCGTTTGCTGCTAGTCGGAAAGCAAGCATACCTGGTGTTATAATCGACCACTTTGCTGTCTGGTTTGACAAACGTATCGTACACCACCTTCAAATCGGTGTTTACCACCGTTAACCTGGTCAGCTCCAAGCCTTGCTTTGTGTAGCACTGAAGGGAGAGAGACAGAAGGAGAAGAACAATTAGGATGAAAAAAAAATCATGCGAAGTTACATGCAACCCCAAGCTCTACAGTTTCGAAAGCAATTAAAATGATAAAATTACAATTCTTGCTCAACGTCACACGATGATTATGGGAGCGTTTTTTCATGTCAGCGCCTTGGGACGTCCTCCTGGCGTGAAAAGTGCTGATGAGATTGTTGCAATCTGCAACAATGCAGAAAAATCATCCTGATTTTTTTGTAATTTGCGCGCGAAACACATTTACAACAACTTGCCCCGATATAGTGCCCTCCATGCAGTGTAGCGCCTCAGAGCGCTTATTTAAAAATCAACAAACATTGAATAATCCATCTTTACGAGCCCCCCACCACCACCTAAATAAAAATCTCAGGGGAAAATATGATATCTAAAACACCATTTACTGATTTAACCGGATAAGTATTTCGAGACTCTGTTTCGTCATGCATTAGAAGTTTATCCGTATATTGATACGACGACGACAACTTGGATTTATATAGCGCCCTCCATGACGGACGGCGTCTCAGAGCGCTTCACAGTAACGGATCCCGGGACCGAGCCAGGGGGACGGGGAGGAAGGTGACCAAAGGCGCGGGTGAAAAGAAAGGTCTTCAGCAGATGGTTTTAATGTCTCCCCTGTGAATTACTTACCATTTCACAATCCAGAGCAAAGGCCCCTGGGTTTTCATCTGCCGGGTCTGGCTTTTCGAAGGTCTTCATAAATCCCTCCAGGTTTTCTTTGCGACCATCTTGAACGTGTTGCTGCAGGGGGAGTGCGCTTCAATCAATATACAGAATACAGGAAGCTTTTAACGAAAAAAATAACCCACTGAGCTGCCACCATAAGCAGCAAATGTTTTTACAAGAGACGAAAAAAATGGCCACAGTGACTACAGTTCGCAACTGCAAAATTTGTTTCTCCAACCGCCCCTCCCCTCCAAAAATATATCTGCTCTCCCAAGTCATTGGTACAAGTAGCCCAAAGACAATTCATCTGTAAGCCTTGAGAGAAGCAACGCAGTCTAATCTCTGCAAGCACCTGCAAACACTTTCCAGCAGCGCAGAGCAACCAGCAGTCAAAACTCCACCCGACCTTCCTCTTAAACGGGCCAGTTGCAGGTATCAGCCGCACTCTCTCCCCTGGGTTACTAACCTCAGCAAAGACGGGAGCGATTAAAATGTGCAGCTCAGTACTAGACTGGGCAGTGGATTTATCCGCTAAGCCAGTCGGGTGAGCTTTGCGATGTTCCTTACCTTTGTTGTCTGACATCCTAAGGATCCCACTGCTCCCGAACAGCAATTGTACAGGGTTTCCCATCCACCAGGCACTGCAGAAGAGTGAACAAGACTGGCCAATAATCTCACCCAAATTACAGAAGAGAAATGGTTTTGGTGTCGTACGCAAAAGTGGAAGGTTTGACCTTCTGAGCTTGTGTTAATAATGCCATCTTCTACCTAATACTCAACACATTTTGTACAGCAACAAATTACATTTGTATAGCATCTTTCACGTAGGGAGGACGTATACCATAGCGCTGGATGGAATGGCTTTAATCACACGTTTTCTTTTAGTAACAGAGATTGTGGTAGTACAATATAGAAATTAAAAGTTACAATTTCCATTGGAGAAATGAATACCCCGATTGCGTTAGTAGCAGAGAAGAGATGTGTGGGAGGGGAGCACAAGGTTGGAATATAACTCAAATGGTCTTATATCAAGACATTAGGAAACTGCAATAAATCTTTGCTGCTCAAATAATAAACTATTGTACAACTGTGCTGCGCTCCAGTAACTAAGAAACTGAGCCCGTTCAAGGTCCCCCATCCGATCCCACCCACCATCAGCGATCGGGCCTTCAGCCTTTCTGCCCCCACCCTATGGAACTACATCCTACATTCCTTTTGCCTGGCCCCCTCCCTTACCTTCTTCAAGGCGCGTCTCAAAACTCTCTTCGACCGAGCCTTCAGCCATCCTCCCACCCTCCATGATCCCAGCCCCCAGCTCAGGTCTAAATCCCTGACTGTCCAGCGCCTTGGGATATTCTCCCGACGTTAAAGGCTCTGTACGAATGTAATTTTGCACTGCATTGTACTCCAAAGTGCTCTCGGATGAATTGTTCCGATCTGACTTACCTTTCTGTCGGCGCAGTTTTCCCCAGTGGTAGGTACATTCCTCTTTGCGGATACAATTCCCACTGAGGGAGACACCGTAACCGGTACCACAACGGCAGCAGATCTTGAATGAAGCTAGTAATAAGAATAAAGAAAAACCCTATAAGAAACAAACCTTAAAAGTAGTTTAATGCTTTTAGACTGTCAATGTTTTCTCTGGTCAGCCGGGTCCTGCCTGTGGAGCCAATGCTGTCATCAGCAGTGCCCTGGAATATTGCAGACCCTCCTGGCTCAGGAACTGGACTACCGAGACCACTACAAGAGGGCTGGCTCGCATCCGACATTCTGTTGCCAAACATTTCCGTTGCCACTTCAGCTCTAAATCTTCCCCCCACCCCTCCCCAAGAGGAAAAGACCGTCAAGAAAAGGTAACAACTTTACGTATCAAATATTCAGGGTGATCGGCAAAACAAACAAATGAGCATTCCAGTTTTTTCCCCCACAGATGTGATCTAATTTTCTTTATACACGTTTCCTTTTTTTTTTAACAGAAGCAGATTATTACTGCGCATAAAATGGTTGTTGCACCGGGATGGTGGTCGGACAACGCTACAGGACTTCACGTTTGGAAAATGAACGGTGACTGAAGCGTCACTGAGCTTTACATCCATTTGAAGATGACGGGGTTTCCACACCTGACCTACACCTCTCGCCTCACTCGCATCAACTAAAAAAGGCTGTGAATTATGGCTGGATCCATTCAAATTGCCCAGATTGAGGTGGATAGATGTTTGTTAGGTCAGAGTCTCAAGGGATACGGAGCAAAGGTGGGTAATTGGAGTTGAGGTACAGATCAGCTCCGATCTAACAAAATGGCAGAACAGGTTTGAGGGGCTGAATGGCCTCCTTGTGTTCCTATGCTTACAGTCAGTGTTGTTCTTTTTCGGATCTTGATTGAACAGCATGGCAACGCCAGGCTTCTCCGGGTGTGGCCTCGGGTAGCTGTTTTCTCGCAATTGCTCTTCAGTTAGAATGTACTCCTTCAGCTTGTTGTAGAACGACGCACCTATTAACAAAACAAGCCCGGGTTAAATCGAGACACTGTTCGACAATGATCAGCAGTTGAATCTAGCTTTGGGTTGCTGTTAAGATTCTACCCGTTGACTTTAAGCAGTTAGATGAAGGGACAGGTTGAACTCACTGTCTAGTGGAAGTGAATGCACAGCATTGATTCCCTACAATTCAGCAGAACCACCGTTACAAGTAATAATATAATAATTTTGCAGTTGATATAGAGCGCTTTATCAAGTCTTCGAGACGTCTCAAAACGCTTCATAGAAGATACAGCAGTGTCCCACAAACAGTCGTGGTCAAATAAAGAAATATTTTTAAAAAAAATGTTATTTAAAAGTAAAACACTTTAAAAATTCTATTAAATTTGTTCCATGTCTAATTTGCTCTTTTTAGTGTGGGTTAATAGAAGAAAATTTGACTTTTTTTTTGAAAAAAGAGAAAATCCTCAAAAGGTTTGGCAAAATTAAAATCAGAACCGATTTAAGCACCCGGCTCTGCAAAGGATTCCTTCACAGGTTTGACCCGGAAAACACACAAGCAAAGTTAAGATTAATGGTCAGACAACTGCTTACCCTTCAGCTCAACGTCCTGATGTTTGCCAGATCGATTCAGAGTAAAACTGGTCTTCATAGCCATCCTTCCTCCCAGCATTGCTTCATGTGACAGCGTTTTTTTGTTGGCGTTTATATTAGGTTTACATACTTTAGGGGTCTCTGAAAACAGAATAAATGGTTTCAATGTTATGATATTAATAATAATAATAATCCTTGCATTTGACATAGTGCCTTATCATGTTGTTGAGATGTCTCAAAGCGCTTCACAAGATGTAAAGTAAAGTGGATTGACTGCATTTTGTGGGCCAAAATTCCCACTGGCTGAGGCGCTGGAACTCATACAACAATGACAGTAGATCCTGACTGAAGCTAATAAAAAAACATAAGAAACAAACCTCAAATGTGTTCTAATATCGCAAGACTGTCAATAATAGGCAAACAGCAGCTTTGCATATGAATTGTTCAGCCCTGATCATCAAGCAAACAAATTGGAATTCCACTTTTTCCCCCTCAAATGTGATCTAATTTTCCTTATATAAAAGCCTTTTGTTTTAAATAGAAGCAGATTATTACAGCTCAGAACTAAATATGATTAAACTCATTTGCAAACTAAACTTGCAAACAACTCTGCCTAAGGTCTCATTTAAGAGGAGAAATCACCTGTAATATGAACTTTGACCGATGACAATTGATGAATAGGTCAGAACAATACAAGTTATCTCAAGTTTCAGAGAATGCAGTTTTGAGATTAACACAGTATAATGTTTATGACAGAGTTGCGAGGTTTCTAAGACAATGAGGATCAGATGTCTTAACACACACACACACACACCTCCCCCCTCCACACACACAGAGGAGGTGTCATTTATTTTTAGTCACTCTCGCATCAGTGTCAGACAGTTGTGGATTCAAGCCTCAGGCCAATACTTTGAGCTCATGTTCCAGGCGCCATCCTTCAGTTATCAAACCGAGCGCCTGTTTGGTGGACATTGAAGACTGCACTGAACTATTCGAAAAGAGAGTGGAGTTTCTCCTGGTGTCCTGGCCAACAACTACCCCCAAATAAACAAAAATGGGTGATTCAGACTTTATGGTAATAATGCCAACACAATACTCTGAGGTTAAATATTTTTATACAAAGGAGGAAAAAAGTAGCACAGCTAATCTGATGGGAGAGCAAACTTAGCAATAGTAACAAGAATATAAAAGCCATTATTATTATTATATAGAAGGAGGCACGTACTCTCTGTAGGAGACGTAGGAGTATTCTTTTGACTTCTTAACTTCTTTAAGGTGTTCACAGCCACATTCAGATACACGGTTCTACTGGTACAGCGATCATAGACAATCTTCTCTTCACTCAAACCCTGAAACAAGCAGGATGCAGTTACCTCAGAGCTGATCTTACCCTTTATACACTTTGGTGCAACCGTGATAATAATCCTTGCATTTGATATAGTGCCTTATCAAGTCTTCGACGTCTCAAAGCGCTTCACAGAATATACTGTGAAGTGAATTGCGCACATCAGTGCCCCACAAACAGTCGTGGATTGAGAGACCACATTTTTAAAAAAAATTAGGGGTACATATGTGCGAAGCAATATGCATGGTGATAAAATGGAACTGTTCGAGAGCTGTACCAATTTCCCATTGTAATACGAATAATCGAGATTTTAAAAATGGTTTAATAATTCAGCTTCAATGCAATATTCCTGCTTTAGTTGCTCTAAGTCTGGTAGCTCCCATTAGTCACGTTTGTGTTCAGTTTAAATATTCTACAACAACAAAATTACATTTGTATAGTGCCTTTCACATTGGGAGGACATCTCAATCTATATTCCAATCTAGTTAGTATAGTTTCAAGTTCTAGTATGACACTTATATTTCTACATATGGATAAACAAATATAGCCATCTTACAGTGTCTACCTGTGAAAAACACATCAGTAGTGGACATTTATCAAATGCAAGGATTACTATTAGTACTATTATTGTTATTAAATCACCCACAATACACACTCAGTCATTGCACTTTACAGTTATAGCCTGGAAGCACTTTACGATGTCCTCCTGACATGAAAGGTGCGATACCAAAGGTAATGATTATTATTATTTTAAAAATGTTTTAAATGACTTATTCAACACTTCAGGCCTACTTAAAACTCCTGACCCTTTACAAACCATTATGGTCGCTGTACGCATTTTACCTATTACTTTTCATTGAACTATTCGAAGCAAATTAGAGCTGTCACTTTTACATTTTAATTATTATTAATCAAAGTTGCAGATTCTAGGATTAATGAAAGCAGATGTGCGCAAATTGAATTTAGAAAATCAAATGTTTACCTCATCTCTTAATTTACATTTTCCCCAAGCACTATATTCCAATCTAGTTAGTTCAGTTTCAAGCTCTAGGATGACATTTACATTTCAGCTGGGATATAAAAATGGGAAAAGTTTCCACTGCCAAAATCAAATGGGTTTAATGGAAACCAAACCAAGGCTTCTACTCAATCTAGGGCACCACCTAGCGGCTCGGCTAAATATCGACAGCTGCATCATTTCAAGTGGTTGATGGATTAAAGCAAATGGTTTTAATCTGCAACCATCAGTCTCTGTGCTTCAATGTCCTTGAAACTATATAGTGCCTCAGCACGTCTTGGAGATGTCTCAAAGCGCTTCACAGAATATACTGTAAAGTGAATTGACTGTATTTTGTGGGTGAAACGTGGCAGCTAATTGCGCACAGCAGCGTCCCACAAACAGCCGTGGATTGAAGTGACCAAATTATTACTATTATTTATTATTTTTTTAAGGGATCTTGCACCTGCCAGTGAGAGTAAACTCCTGTTAACATGGCCCCGGCTTAACTAGTCACGACCACTTAAGTCATCATGCTGTCAATATCCTGGCCGCATTTACTTATTTACTTATACATACATATACCTAACTCACTACTCTGGGTAACTCATCACTGAGCCCTTCTCTCTTGAGTGACGAGTTATCAGGAGTTTGCTGTATTTGATCTAATATAAGGGCGCTGTATAAATGCAAGTTGTTGCTGCGGTTGTAAATGCACAAGAGCCTTACCTTGTCAAAGGCCTCTTGTTCTGATCTACAGAACTTCAGGCACTCATCAATGAAGACATTCAGGTAGCGCTGTCTCACGTTTGTTGGCACTTTGGCACCGTATTCAGTGGGAATTGTCGGCCGCTTCAAGCCTGTGCTCTTTACAGAGAGAAAAAAAATAATGTACACAGGTTAGGGTCTCAGGTTAGAAGGATAAACAGAGATGATACAATGTCACGTGAAACATAATAACTTAAGGGCTGTAGGACATTGGAAATATCATGCCAAGGAATCCAGCACATTGAGGAGTTTTACAGTTTGAAGCGACAATTTAATTAATTTTTGGCAGTATGGAGAAATACTTACGGAATTTTTAAGTAACTGTTAAGTTGGGTGAAGCCCAACTGCTGTAAAATCTGGGTCCAGTACCTCAAGAGGCTATGTTAGAACAAGGTGTGAAACAATGGCTGACTTCACTTCCAGTTTACCTTTGAAATAGGAGCATGTGCGATCCTCTTCTGTACAATAGTTGATACAGTTTTAGATGCCATTCCAACAACCGTTTCAGTTTTGAAGACCTGATGTCTTGACTTATCAGACGGCGCTCCAGTTTTTGCAGAAGTTCCCATCTTCTGATGAACTGAGGCTAAAGCACACAAAACGCACTACTTTTTTTAGTCTGATATTTCCACAGAAATCAAAGACAAGCAACAACTTGCATCTGTTCATTGTTGCACTGTACAACTGACGAACACAATACAGGTGCATGAACTATGCATTTTGATATGATCAATTCTACCTTGTGTTGGAATCAGTGGAATAAGTGCATGTAAAATGGACAAAATTCAACAGCTGTTTCTAAATCAGAACCTAAGCATTGAAAGCTCTGCAACGTTCCAATTAGATACCGAGGTTTATGAGATAGTAAATCTAAAAATTACTTCAAATAATCATAATTACGTCATCACAAATGTGGGTCAGTGCATTATTGATGAACAGAGAGATGATCGATTATAAGACTACAGTGGAAAATCACCTTGGGGTCACCGCAGTGATGTGGTCAGTTTCTCTTATGCTCATCTTTTCCATTTCAACATCGTAGGAATATATTGATGAACGATGTCTCCAAGTACCAACCTGCTAGTTTGGTCAAAATTCCTCTGTCCATTTGGTCTTATTAATGAGTTTCCACTGTATATAACTCTCATGCTAGAAGCAATTTTCCATTTCAGGAACCTACCAAGACCTACCAAGTATCACACTGCTCTCGTCTAAGCTCAAAGTTCAGTAGGAAATGAGTAGTTGGTCAAGAGGGAGAAGGGAATCAAGAAGTATGGATTGGAATAGGCAAGGAGTGGGGGGAAGAATTAGGTGGGGGGAGAACTGGAGACTCACATAGAGTATAAATACCAGCACAGGTTAGTTGGGCCGAACGGCCTATTTCAGTGCTACCACCTGTTAATAATTCCATGTATCAAGTCCACACAGACCACAAAAGTCCCAGTTGGAGTTTGCTGATCTTGGGTTGAGCAGCAGCTGTACAATCAGTCTCAACACCTCAGTATATTGTACAAGTATGCGTGTGTGGCTGGGTGCATGTCTGACAGACATATCTGGTGACAATATTTGCCCAAAACATTGGACGTGTGGCAACTCGGGCTTCTATCATAGTCTGAAAGGTGCAGCCTGGTACATTCATTTACATTTACTTTTGTGTGAGTTTACGTGAGCTACCATTGACACGTTGATGCAATGCTAAAACAAAGGGCAGCTTACACTGTTTTGGTGATGTGATTATCCCTGCATTTGGCATGTGTGCCATTCTCCTCTTTTCCCCCGGATTGGTGAAAGATGTGCTTACTGGTTTTTCTGCTGCTGCCAATTGTACCATTTGTTGTTGTGCCATCCGGCTCCGTTGATAACAAACCTCTTGAGGAGTAAGTCTACGCAAAGGACGGATGACTGGCCTGGTTGGTTCCACCTGGACAAAAAGACCTTTGGTTGTCAGGCACACTCATTGGTCACCGCTGCAGACAAACTACCTTTGATATAAGTATGAAAAGAAATTTGGCTTAAACCACTCAAAGTTAACTTTGGCGCTCGCTAAGAATCTTTAGCTTATATGTGATAGTTTGCCAATCGTTCTCAAATTCTTTTCATGTACTCTTAATTTCTGATGCCAGGTGAAAGAGGATCTGCTATTGAATCACAGTTACAATCAGATGAAGCCATGTGAAAATGCATGAATATGATGGAATGCCTTCTGCCAGCTTGTTAGCCTTACACGGTCTTGCTTTACCACGTGTGAAATCCTCCTCCTTTGTCCCGGGAACAGGGTTGTTAAACTGGAATCTTTTTCTTCATTACTTTCCACAGACACCTAGATCATGAAGCACAAAGGCTGATTTAGCACCAAGTGAAGTGAACCGTTAGAATCAGACATCACAGCCACGCAATGCAACGGAACTAGAGACAAGTGGAATTTCAGAATGTAGAACAAGAGCCAATGTAATTAACACTGGACACCACAAGACACCAAGCCAATGTCTTCAAGGTTTTGAGGGACATGATCAAGAATTGCACAAACTGAACACTAACTGCAATAACTGAACACATTTCATTTTAAAGAGGAAGGTTATCACTTTGAGCTATAAGAAACAGCTATGATTTTGCTGCATTACAGTCGATATCTTTTTAGTTCCTTTGCTGTTACTGAAACCAAGGTTTTGGTTGGTCCCAACAGCTATTGTTCCTCTGCTTCATAAAACAGTACAAAAAGGGTGGTTTCACCCACAGGAAGTAACTTAAGACTGTTCAGTGCACTTGCTAGGCTATGCACTGAAACCAGAATTTAATGAAAACAAGAATCGTCAGGGTTGAGATACTAGTTTTTTTAAAGTGTTTTAATGCAATCTACTTTAACTAATGATTTATCAACAGCAGAGACACTTTGAAAAAGTGTACCCAGCTCTTGATCATTCACGTAGTCTGTAACCAGTCTGGCGCTCTCTGAAAACGAGAAGACGTTTTAGCAGAATGGATGAACGAGCTCAGAGCAAGATCGACTGAGATCCAATAAAAGTCTGAATACCAGCTCTGACAACATGAATGAAGACTAACAACAACAATAAATGACATTTGTACAGCGCCTTTCACGTCGGGAAGACGCCCCAAGGCGCTGGACAGTCAGGGACTTGGACCCGAGCTGGGGGTTGGGATCAGAAGGGATGGAGGGCAGTGAGGGTAAGGGTAGGAGGGTGACCGAAGGTGCGATCGAGACGTGCCTTGCAGAAGGCAAGGGAGGGAGCAAGTGGGATGGAGTTCCAAAGCTTGAGGGCAGAGAGGCTGAAGGAAATTCATAGCGACCGCACGCGCTAAAATAAATATTCCAAATTCAGTTTCAACAAAATATTCCCAAATCGTACCTGCTTGGCAACCCTGCCCTTATCTTCATTCTTCACTTCCTTCGACTCGTTGAAAATCCTCAAGCATTCCTCCATAGGATCGGACTCGAAGTCGAAATCTTTTTCCAGGCTGGCGAAATCGACCTCGTCCTCCGAAGAGGAAGAAGAGGCTTTTTGTGCCGCGTTATTTTCAGTTTCGTCAGCGTTCGAACTGCTGTCGCTACACTGGTCCACGTCAGGGTCGGAGTCTGTGTCGTAAGCGTCTGAAGGTCCGGCCTGTCCATCATCCTCACTGCCACTGCTGTCATCGCCAAACAAATCCGTGTGGCTTAACGCTCGTTTTGCTAAACTGGATCTTTTTTTCTCTGTCCCCTGATGTTTGGACAAGGAACTCTTCTGTTGCCCTTTATCTTTCGCAGACATAGACTCACCCGCTTTCCTCTTCAACTTCTCCTTACCTTTGCTTCCTATCTGAGCTCCGTTTTTACGGTCCGGTCCTTTGGATTTGAAACTGTCATTTATATTTTTGTCAGATTTCTTGCGTTCGGGAGCTTTAGCCTTGCCTGAACTCTCTGATAAAGCGCCCGATCTGGACCTGGATTTACTGCTTTCGCTTTTTGTCCCGTTCAATTTGCCGGTTTTGACGTTTCCAGAATCTCCGTCCACTCGGACCTTTTTCTTTTCCTCTTTTACCTCGTTTGTTCCTTCCCTTTTCCGCTTCTTTTCAACTTGTGAGTTAGCGTCAATCTTTGCTTTATCTTTCAATTTCTTCCCGTCTTGTTCTTGCTTGATGTCCACTCTTTCCTTTTCACATTTCTTTTTCTCCTTTATACCGACTTTCTCTCGGTGGTCAGAAGCCTTGCCCTTGCTGCTGTCTGCTTTGCTCGGTTGCACTCTGTCCTTCACAGTTTCTGAATTCCTGCCTTTGTTCTTTTTAGTTCTATGATCTTTCGCTCCAAGTTCTTCCTTGCTACATTTTGCAACCTTGGCCGAATGACTGGCGGACTTTGACTTCTCTGTACATTTGTGTTTGTCTCGATTGTCCTGTCCCTTGTTCTCATGGCCGCGGACATCTTCCTTATCACACCGCCCGACAGTCCCTTTCGAAGGCCTTTTCTTCAAGTCTTTTGCCTTTCGAGGTGATCCTTCATCCGATTCATACTCCTCGGTAGATGCATTTCGACGCTTTGAAGAGCAACGAGATCTTTGCAGAGAGTCATTATCACTAAGGTCGTCTCCAGAGGCTGAGGAGTCCACATCCACGTGGCAGCTAGTTGAATTCAACCGATGTCTGCGTTTTTTTGCTGTCGGGATATAGCTCTCCTCTGTACTGTTCTCTCTCGCCCTCTTGATCCCACGTTCCTCTTTCGATTTATTTTTGCTCATCAGCCGCGCTGAATAGTTCAACAAAGGATCATACTCGAGATCAGTGCATGGCTTGGTGTTGTCGATCACATACTTATGACTGGGTGCAGAGGTAGTATATTTCGCCGGCTTAGTCACAAGAGTGGGGACATACTTCAACGAATTATTCTTGGAATCGATTTCATCGTCTGTATCCAGAGTATACTTGCTCGAGCAAGCGGTACTGGAAAGTGGAGTAGGGGTGTACTCCACTTTGTTTGTTAGATGATAACTATCAGGATTATATTCCAAGGGGTTTAACGTCAATTTATCCAGGTGAGGTAAAACCTCTGTGCAACCCTTGGCTTTGCTAATGGTCTTCTGTTTACGTGGTGCTGAAGGAACATATTGCTCCTCTGCATCCTCTGTCAGGACCCCATATCTTGACAGTTTTTGCTGTTCTTGTTCAACCTCACTCCTGACAGCCTCAATGGCTTGGTTGACCAACTCCAGTTCCAATGTATTGGAGCTCGACTCGGTAAGGTCATCTGAAATCTCATCTCCATTTCTGGGTGAACCCTTAGTAAGGTCGAGGTTATGTGGATCATAACCACGTTCTAAAAAAATACAACACAAAGACACTATAAATAAGGCAAATGGAACTCAAAGGATGTACAATATTATTGATTTCATCTCCCCGCACACTGTTCAGAATGTTTCAGACTCAATTACCAATTTCAAGAAGGCAATTCTTTCCGAAATCAACATAGTATAAGACCTTTAAATAGGATTCTAAACATTGCTACAGCAGAATAGTTAAACGTGAAACAGCAAGAAACAACAGAGTTTACAGTCTTTTTCACCTCTTGGAACTGTATTTGACTTCAATCGATTAAATACTAGGTTCAAACTGGTCTGCCTCCTATAACAACAACAACTTGCATTTATATAGTGCCCTTCACGGGGGTGGGGAAGCGTCCTGGAGCACTTGACAGCCCCATCTGGAGACTGCAGGATAGATCCCTCGCTAATGGAAGCCTGATTATTTTCCTCTATGTCTGTGTCCCCACGCCATCTCTTTGGTTTCCATTCAATGCCCAATGCGCTTTGCATAACCAACAGCTGCTTAGAAAGCAAACGGATGTGTTCCCACTGCAACACAATAGCTAAATGAGCAGTAGGACAGTCGCAGGATTCGTGGTCTGAAGCCTGTCTATTCTTCACAGTGATAAGGTTCCCTCAAACTCCTGCTGCAATATCAAAATCAACCAGTAACCAACCGTACGTGGAGGCCCATCAGGGAAGGGAGAAACATGAATGATAACGTCATCTGCTTATCAGCCAGACTGTCTTCAGTTCCAGTCTTCAAAAATGAAAAGACAGGCACCAAAAGAGAAACTGGCTCCGCACATACACTGCAGACACTTGGTCTACAACATATCTGGCCATCAATGATTAGTTAAACATTCATTAGAAACTCGACTGGAGCAAAGCTGACTCGACAGCAGGGAAAACACTCAATTCCCTCCACAGTCAAAGTCAGACCACACTCAATTTTCAAGCACACCTGAAAAATAGCCATTTGAGTGAGATACACAGAACTGACAGCAGAAGCCAGACAGCATCTTCAAAGGGACATTGGGGCGCACCAGGGGAAGACGAGTGAAGGAAAAAAACTGTATTCAGTTTAATACAAAAAGGGACAAGCAGGAGGCCAGACCAGCGGGCGGAGGTAGCGGGTGATGGTGGAGTGATGAGTAAACAGGCGGGGCATGAAGGGCTTTGTAGATGAGTGTGAGGATCTTGAAGTCAATCCATTCTGCGATAGGGAGCCAGTGGAGCCTGGTAACACCTGCAAGAATTGACTATTTTAATTACCACAATTCTGCGGGGATAAAATGTTTTTTTTTTCCATTTCTTTCTAGAATTTCACTCCACAGTACACCACATTGCTGTAGCAGCACACACCGCTTTCTGAACAAGGTACCACTTGGTCTCTGAAGATATGCCTGTGGCATTGAAAACCCCAGGGTCACACAGCTGATATAATCTCAGTCGACCGATCCCTTAAAAATGTCAGCCCGAGAAAAGCACATGCGACTCAGTGACCACTTCAATTTCAAAATAAGCTTTATTTTTACAATTGTTACCAAGCCACGATCACCTATTAATAGCTACGCTGTTGCCTGTGGGTGAAACACGCAATTTCAAATTCAAGTAAGCCAGGGCGTTAATATATTCTTAACTCAAACCCAATTGCTTCTGTGTTTGAATTCCTCAATCCGAGCTGAATTTAGCTCTCAGACATATCACCTCGGAACAACAACTTGCATTGACGTCTGAGCTCTTAGAACCCACTTACTGCGTACTTACAATATTGACAGAACTGCAAAGCTTTAAAATCCGTCAACCGTACGTAGATTTGACACTTGTAAATCAATGATAAAACATGGCCATAATACTGCAATCGCCTAACAAATATCTATCCACCTCAGTCTTGAAAATATAAATGGATCCAGCATCCACAGCCTTTTGGAGAAGAGTTCGAGATTTCCACTACCCTCTGCCTCCGAATTTCACTCCTAAATGCTCTAACTCTAATTTTAAGACTATACCGCTTGCTCTAATTTTTTAAGATTATCCTTCAACCAGAGGAAATAGTCTCTTTGTATTTGAAACGTACTGTGGAGTACATTCACAACATTTTGAGATGTACTATGGAGATTGATCAATCACTTAACGGTTTTCAATAAACTGAACTCTCATCTGCTAATATCTTTCTCTCATAGCCAAACAGCACATTTCCTTTGGTCATTTGTCTATGATAGAAAGACATTAGTAGATGAAAGACAGACTGGGCTACCATTCAATATTAATGCCCTTCTCTGTTTAGTCAACAGAAAGTGCACTTGTTTCCATGCAGGTTGGTATGGTTTTTATCAGAGCTCCTCCTCTTATGAAGCTTCCCAGTATGGGTGCACAATAGCCTCAAACTTATGAAACAAATCAACAGAAGTTTAAAAGTCTCCTACAGATAGCATTCCAATCCACAAATCTGCCTCAAAGCAAACATCTTGACAGCATTCAGAATGTTAAACATATAAAAATATAAAGAAACATAAATGTTTACAGCACAGGAAGCCAATTAATCCAAAATGTCTGTGCTTATATTACATTCCTTCTTACCCAGTTAGATTGTGTCCCAGTACCTCAAAGCATCAAGGTTAAGATCTTTGTTTAAACCTTTCCACATTCTGAATAAGACCCACTCTTTGGTGTCTAGTTTCATTTCAGGAAAGCACCTTTTTTCCTACATAAAAGGTGCTTTCTAAAATAACTACTCTCAATGTGCAAATGACAGTGCAAATGAAACTATCATTTTGTACGTGTGTGTTTCTGCAAGCAACTTTTTAAAGAAAAGCTGCATTTAGACAATTCATACGCTTTATGGCATGCCTTAAGACATTTAAGATTAACACTATATATGTTTAGAAAGTTGATTGGAGGAACACAAATGTATGTTAGGCATTTAACTGTACACAACTCTCCAATGCTTTACTAAGAACTTCAATTTGGATTAGTTTTGACCCATTGATCCAAGTGACATCAATTCAATTAATCTCGAGATGTTTACGAAGTAGGCTTGATTTCTAACAACTCAATAAACATATTGAAACTAATCATGTGCTTTCGAGTTCCCCTAAAACGCATGGGAGAAAAATGTGTCATGCCATCACAAGCTACATTTCTGGGGGATGTGAAGGGGAGAGGTGGATGCTGCAAAGTGGGGGAAGAGAGGACCCTGAGCCAAGTAAACCCAAGTTCAGGGTGCAGGAAGAATACTGAATATGTCCATTTCGGAAAGGATTTTGTTAAAGTTAGAAAGAAGGGCTTAAAATTCTGAGTTTGCTTTTCAATCAATGCTTAAAATCCAAAAGTCACCCCTGCACTGCTTTCCTTCCACCACCAAAAAAAGACTGGATACAAAAACACAAAGCAAAGGGAACAAAAGCATCTTCACCTGTGCAAACATGTGAAGCTTAGTTGTCCTCCACCAAAAGTAAGAATTAAAGCCTATTTTGACTGCAAAAGGATACTACGGCTGTTAACACTAAAACACCTTTGTCAGAACAACGTTTCGGGTCTTTCGCTTCCCTTTCTCCTTAGATGACCTGACCTGCTGATTGTTCCCAGCAACTTCTGCTTTTGTTTCAGGTTTCCAGCATCTGCAGTATATTGCATTGTGCAAGGATTATTAATATTGATATTTATTATTAATGATCCTTGCAATCTTTGACTTGCAATATAAAACCTGCTTCCTTAACAGACTGACCGCTGATGAAAGAAACCTGTGGTGACCCAGGGTGACACGAAGCCACTCATTCGATACACGGCCACCTGTGGCCTATGTGCTAACCCACCAAACAGCTCCAACCCTGGGCACCGCCATCCACCGTCGACCCCAGGCACCACCAACCATCCCTGACCTTGAGAACCCCAACCATCCCTGTCCCCGCCAACCATCACCAACAGCAGGAACCGACAACAAACCCCAGTCACTGCCAACCACTAACCGACCCTGGGAACCTGTCAAGCGCTCTGGAACATTACACTGCGCGAGCAGCGCTATATAAATACAAGTTGTTGTTATTGTTGACCCTGGGCACAGCCCAACCACTCCCTGATCCCGCCCCCCCCTCCAGGAACCTCCAATCATCCCTCCCCTTCATGCTCCATCATCCATATTATAATGTGAAGAAGAAATTGGTCGCTTCAATCTACCACTATTTTGTGGGACGCTGCTAACGGGCGATCGGCTAACGCAATCCGCTCACAAGAAACACACACAGTCAATTCATTTGACAGTGTGTCCTGTGAAGCGCTCTGAGGTGTCTCGGAGACGTGATAAGGCACTATATGACATGCAAGGATTATTATTATTATTATTATTATTGTTGTTGTTGACCCCGGGCAACAACTGGCAACCACTCCCCGACCACAGGGACCTCCAACTAACCCCTCCACGTCCCATCGCCGCCAAGAGCCCCAGGACATCATAACCCTGTGCGGGGGTCGGGGGTGGATGGGTGGGGGGGCTATATAAATGCAAGTTGTTGTTGACCCTGGGCCCTGCCAACTGTCACCGCCCCCGCACTCCCTACACCCCCTCTCCCCCTTCTCTCTCTCCCCCCGCCCAGTACCCCACCACCACCACTCCCCCCACCTCCCGCCCCTCCCCCTCCCCCACCCCCACCCCCACCGTGTCTCTCACTCTCACCTTGGCCGGTGGCTAGTGGTTGCCCACCGCTCGGTGGTTTCTCTCTGGCGTCACCGCCGGTGCCGGTGCTGCCAGTAGTAGTGCCGCCGCCAGAGCCGCCGCTGCCGCCAGTGCCGCCGCCGCCGGCGCCCCGGTGCCTGAAGTGACAGTAAGGCCGGTTGCACGTCCCGCCGCTGCCGTAAAACGGGCACTCGAGGCTGCGGAAAAACTCGGTGGAACGCAGCATGGCGCGCTCCGAAAATACATAATCCCCGGGAATGGACGATTCCAATAAAAAAAATAACCCGCGGCGTCGCTGTGAGTTTCTCTGTCTGTCTGTCTGTCTCTGTCTGTCTGTCTCACCGTCGCTTCTCTTCACCTCTCGCCGCCGCCGCCATCTTTGTGTCTTCCTTCCAACCAGGAGGGCGGGCGGGGTCCTTCGTGACGTCACCCGGGCTGCCCGTCAGCGCGCCTGTCTGGGGGGGGGGGGGCGAACTGACACTGCGCCTGCGCACGCAATGCTTTGTTCCCCCCCTCCCCCCCACTCCCCAATCCTCTCCCCCCACTCCAACTCTCCCCCTCTCCCCCCCCTCTCCTTTCTCACTCCCCCTCCTCCCCCCCCCTCCCACTCCCCTCCCCCCACTCCTCCCACTCCCCCTCTCCCCCCCCATTCCTTCCCACTCCCCTCCTCTCCTCCCCCCCCCTCTCCCCCCATCACTCCCCCTCTCCTCCCCCCACTCCATCCCACTCCTCCTCTCCCCCTCTCCCCCCCCTCTCCTTTCTCACTCCCCCTCCTCTCCTCCCCCCTCCCACTCCCCTCCCCCCACTCCTCTCCCACTCCCCCTCTCCTCCCCCCATTCCTCTCCCACTCCCCCTCCTCTCCTCCCCCCCCCTCTCCCCCCCTCACTCCCCCTCTCCTCCCCCTCCTCTCCTCCCCCTCCCACTCCCCTCCCCCCACTCCTCTCCCACTCCCCCTCTCCTCCCCCCACTCCTCTCCCACTCCCCCTCCTCTCCTCCCCCCCCTCTCCCCCCTCACTCCCCCTCTCCTCCCCCCTCCTCTCCTCTCCCTTCCCCTCCCACTCCCCCTCCTCTCCTCTCCCCCCTCCTCTCCCCCTCCTCCTCTCCTCCCTCTTTCCTTCCCCCTCCCCTCCCACCCCCTCCTCCCCCCCCTCCCAACTCTCCTCCCTCCCCTCCCACTCTTGCTTCTCTCCCTTCACTTGGTAGCACGCAGTGACCCAAGTGGTCTGACCTCCTCCTAGTCCCCCCCCGTCTCCCCCCCGCCCCCTCCGCTCCACCCTCGGCGGCGGCGCCTTCAGCCACTGCGCCCCGAGGCTCTGGAACTGCCTTCCTCACCTCACTCCCTTCGCCTCGCTCCCTTCCCGCTTTCAGGTCTCTGCTGAAGACCTTTCTTTTCGACCGCCCCTTTGGTCACCTTCCCACCAGCAGCCCCCATCCCCCCCCCCCCCCCCCGGCTCGGCCCCGGGATCCGAAACTGTAAAGCGCTCTGAGACGCCGTCCGGCGTGGAGGGCGCTATATAAATCCGAGTTTTTGTTGTTGTTGTTGTTGCACGCGCATCACACAGCACTGGGTCCCACAGCCAACCACCACCATCAACAAACACCATCAACAAACACCATCATCAACACCACCACCATCATCAACGACCACCATCGACCACAACACATTACATTTAACACACAGCGCCTTTCACGGTCGCAGGAGGATGTTCCAAGGGCACTGGACGGTCAGGGATTGAGATCAGGAGGACGAGGGGAAAGGTTAAGTGGGGGTAGGAGGGTTGGGTGGCTGAAGGCGTTGGTTGGTCGAAGAGGAGGGTGTTGAGACAGGTCTTTAAGGAGGCAAGGGGGGGGCCAAGGAGCGAGGTGGAGGGACTGCGGGATGGATTTCTGGAGGGAGGGCGGGCGCGGTGGGTGGGGGAGGAACAGAGTGGCTAAAGGCCTGCCAACCAGTGGTGGGGCGGGCAAGGCGGTGGACGTGAAGTGGGCAGGAGCCCGCTAATAACCAAATGCTGTAATATAATAATAATAATGATGATGATGATCCTTGCACCTTATCACGTTGTTGAGACGTCTCAAAGCGCTTCACGGGATGTACTGTAAAGTGAATTGACTGTATTTTGTGGACGAAGTGCGGCAGCCGATTGCGCACAGCGGTGTCCCACAAATAGTCGTGGAGTGAACGACCGAATTTATTTGGTGAATTAGGGCACTGGGATCTTTGACGTCCACCTCAACAAGCAGGTTTAATGTCTCATCTGAAGGACGGCACCTCTGACATTGGAACAGCCCCCACCACCCCACCCAGGGTTGCATTGGAGTGTCAGCTTAGACCATGCGATTCTACGACCCAATGTGGAGCCTGAACCCACAACCTACTGACTTTAGAGGTGAGAGCGCTACCACTGACACTGACACAATATGTATATACTGTACAGTCAAACCTGTTGAAGCAACCACCTCTATTCAGCAACCACCTGCTGTCAACAACTGCCCTGGAACAGATCCCGACTGATTTTCCATAATAAACCAGCTCTATTTGGCAACCAGCGGCCAAGTTGTTTTTAGCTCTGTCGGTTTTCAGACACCCCTTTTTCAGCGCATTGAATTGAGATTTCTCCAACCCACCAGCTGTTTGCGTCTTCAAAATAGCTACATGGCATCATTGAGTGGTTGTTTGGTGATGTGGGTGTGCGCGGAAGGCAGAAAAAAACTTTCTTCTCAGTTGCTGCCTCACCTGTGGAAAGGAATATCTTTCCCTTGGTACAAATAGCATGATTACTAGAGGGAGAGAAAGAGCGTGTATCTCTTTCTAGCAATTAAGTGCAGCGAGCATTTAACTGTTTCGATCAGTCATGTTATATTTCACTCTATCTGCCCCCACTCTTTGGTACTTATTCCAGAATCCCTTCACCTTTCTCTTTGACCACACCTTGACCATTGTGTTTTACAACACGTTGCCCTCTTATATCTCTCCTCACACGGAGTTAAAAAAAAATCCTTGCATTTGATATAGCGCCTGATCGCGTCTTTGAGACATCTCGAATCGCTTTGCAGAATATACCGTAAAGTGTAGTGACTGTATATTTTGTGGGTGAAATGTGGCAGACAATTGCGCACAGAAGATCTTCAGAGCGTGTGCCTGAGCGGGGTGAGAGATAGCTGAAGGAGCAGTCAAAGAAGGTTTTCAGAAGTGTATTTTTTAAGAGGGGACATTGCTGTGTGGAAATTGGCTGTTGCATTCCTCTACGAAATACACAGTCGCTACACTCAACAATGAATCCTGTGAAGCTCTTTGAGATGTCTCGACCGTGATAAGGCACTTGATCAAATGCAAGGATTATTAATGTTGTTATTGCTTGCCTAATTAACAAATTTTTCCACTCGTGCTCCTATTCGCATATTGTTAATTGTTCGTTGGTTGTCGCAGCTGTGAATCCTGCAACAAACACAATGTGTGCGCGGGCGGAGAGGGGAGTGTAACAGAAATTCAGAGCTGTCCAGCCATGTGTAAGACCCATTGTGAAGTCTGGAAGCAGCAGTTATTGACTCCAACATTAAGTACAATAAAATAATTGTGTAGTAATCACGATTAGTAATACCAACACCAACCACCCAAAGCATGTGATTTAAGGAAGGATGTCTCAGTTGCTGTTTTGATAAATATCTAGTGAGAACATTTCTCCCTTTGATGCTCAGTGTTTTTCACTATGCCTTCATTTTGCCCCCCTCCAGAACAAGTCGTCTTTCCTCTTAGTTTTACCCGTTTTAACGTTAGCACTGTTCATCCCGTCTATAGAATCTAGTCAAGCCCTTGAGGAGGCGGGGAAATGACAGGTAAAAGTCTGTCCAAGAGATGATTTTGTTACCCGATCCGCACCAAATAAAAATCTTCCACAACCCGTCGAAAAAAAAGTTTAATCAGAAAAAAAGACCAAAAAGTGGGAATATTGTAAAAAAAAACATAAAATTGTTTTATACATGTATGGTGTACATATCATAATTCAGGAAACATTTCGAAGATGCTTTTGAAAATGAGACATTAGCCCAATGGGTAACAGCAAATTACATTTGTATAGCGCCTTTCACGAATGGGAGGACGTCCCAAGGCGTTGGAATGCTCCATATACCCCAACTCGGGTCCAAATCCAACGCCTTGGGACGTCCCTCCCGATGTGAAAGATGTAATTTTGTATTGTATTGTATAACGCTCAGTGCGTGAATTGAATACTATATCCAAAAGCAACGAAAGACATCACAACAGCAACCAAAAGCAGGAGATACCCTGCCACCATGACATACAGCCAGACCAGCTTTTGTCCAAGCAAGGTCACTAACGTGGCGAGGAGGATGACCACAAAGGCTGCCAGTGCATTGGCCTGGATGATAAGTTTGATGGGCGCGGGGATATCCATCACGGAGGTGTAATTCGTCTCGGCTGTAGAGTTCACGAGAAGGACAGTCGTGCCGACGAATGTGGAGAAATCCCCCGGGGGTGAAGCACTCGGAGGTCCGTAGGGAGGTTGAGAATGGGCCATTTCTGCACACTAACTCACTGAGCCAATCCACTCCACTCGCTGAAACCTTACACCTGTCAAACTGAAACAGAACACATCTCAGGCAGGACAGTGAAGCTTTGTCAGAGTCCGCAGTCACTCGTTTTATTGCGGTTCACATTCATTGTTGTCCATTTCCCTTAAGCTAGTAATATTTCCTGTTATTCCTGTTCTAACAGCGAGCTCCGTGAGTAAATAAGTTATAATTTATCCTTGCATATTGACGTAGCGCCTTGTCACGTCGTGAAAACGTCTCGAAGTGCTTCACAGGATATACTGTAAGTAAAGTGTAGTCACTGCGTATTTTGTGGGCGAAACGTGGCAATCGAATGCGCACAGCGGTGTCCCACAAACCGTTGTGAATTGAGTGACCAAATTTTAAAAAAAAATTTTTGGAGGGATTATTACCTAAGGAAAGCTATCTGCCAATTGATTAACAACTGGTGATAATAATAATAATTAATTATTGGTAACTAACAACAGGTGGGACCTCGGATCTCATCCAAAGCATAGCACCTCCAACAATGCTGCAACCCCCCAGCACCGCACTGGAACGCCTAGATCGGACTATATGGTTTCCAAGTCCCGAAGTAGGGCGTGAACCCACAAACTAATGCCTCAGAGGCGAGAGTGCTACCAACTGAGCCAGGCTGACACACACCCTTTTCAACAA